GAATAAGAATGAGGCAAGCACTCAAGGGGTTGCCACGTCAACCTTTAGACACTTCTTTTAAAATGATGGATATCATTTCAAAGAAGAGATAACTGACAATAAACAAATTAAGTGCTCAAGGAGATTGAGCTGTGTTGCTTTATTTTCCATCTACAGAGTGCAGTATTTCCAGCCCTTCTCTAAAGTCTGCAGCACCCTGCGCCCCTGCTGCTTCTGCATTAAAGTCATGTTAGTAACCATAATTTGCTGCTGAAACACAGTGACTGGCAAAATAATCCAATCTGATCTTCAGTAAACAACATACTAGTACGGATTCTTATAATACACGTGTGGCTCTTCTCATCCTAACAAAGAGCCGCATCAGGGCACCACAGAAGGCAGGTGATGTGCGCTCAGCTCATACCTCAGCCTCATCAGCAGCGTCTTTCATGCCTTCCTGGAACACCAACGTTTGCATCGATCTCCCTGCCCACTACTCCTGTCCCCAGTGAATCAATAGCGTATTGAACTCACCAACACACACACCTACCACAACAAGAAAAAGGTATTTTGTAACGCTGAAACCTAATCATTAAAATGATTCATCTGAGCTACAGGAAAACTGTTTTATCAGTACACTCCAATTTTTGGACAAAAAGTAAGATGATGCTTTTTTTACAACTTGAAGAGCCCTATTCTACCAGGCATGCCTTAAGCACAGCTTTTTTCAGTGATCTTTATAATATGACATACAGTATAACTCATACAACTACAGCTTATGGATGGTGCATACTGTACATGTACTATAATAATAATAATAATAATAATAATAAACTTTATTTTATATAGCACCTTTAAAGGTGACTTCTCAAAGCGCTTTACAGGATGACAATAACAATAAATAAGAAGACTACAACAATAAATACTGTATGTAAAACAGTATTTTACTGTTTTTAGTTTTCAATATTTCTTAATTGCTCCCACAAGACTGAAGTGTTGTTGATTATAGTTTTAAACTCAGAAGACACTTGGCTTTATTGCAGTAAGCTGAATTTAAAATAATGTATACATGTATAAATCAGTATATGACTGATTTGCCTGCACATCTTAGCAATGCAACAAAGATGTGCTCCACGTTTGCAGGGGAAGCTAAACCTGTTCTCAGTGAACTATATTTGTGCACATTTTATGGATATCTTTAAATTCTCAGTCACTGAATATCTGGAACAAATGGTAATTTCAACTAATTAAGCCCAGTAATTGATTAAATTAATTAAAAGTATTAAAATTAATCTATTAACAGCTCACATAAAAAAAATAGAGAAACATCTCCTTCCAAGAATATCTAGGCCACTCCTCCACTGTTAAGTGGCTCCAGATATGGTCCTGCATTTTTTTTTGTTTGTTTGTCAAGGCTGTTCAGATGACATGTTCCTAACAGTGCTGGATCAGTGCCCTTATAATCTTCTGGTACCACGGTTTTCCCATGCTGTGAACCCCCAAAGATATGAACGTGGCATTAACACAGCTAAGAAAGCTGTCTTTCTGAAGGTTATATGACAAACATCTCCACCTGCTGGAGAGTATAAAAAACAATATCATTAAAGGGATTGGATTTTTTCTCAAACACATTTGACAAAGAAGTGCGCAATATAAAAACCTTGAAAAACGTATAAAAACTCATATTTGATCAACTTTCAGGTTCACTCTCATAAGCAGGGGCTCAGACATCTGCTTTCTCAGTCAATTGCTAGGTCGTAACAAAGTCAACAGAGTCTAATGAACTGGCAATAAATTACAGAGACAGCACCCATTAGTGAAATAAAGCATTTAAGTGTATGAGACTTGCTGCCTGGCAAAGAGCAAGCATGCTCTCAAAAACCACAGGATAATAACATGAAACGTACAACAGGTTATTTAATGCTCCATTTCATCTGCTATACTATCCTTAACTGTAAGAGTGATGCAGTGAAGCATCAGGAAACTATATCTTGCACCTTTTGTGCAAGTGTTTTTCTGATGTGACCTTGAAGGATCACTATCCTTAACCAACACGAATAAGAAACAAAAAATACAAAAATACACAAGGCTGGAACATGATGCAGAATAAGGAAAGGTCAAGTAGAATTGCTTTCATGAGACTATATTGTGTGATTTCCAAAAATATATATAAATATGTGATTCAGACAGACTAAGTGGGCAAAAAAAGTTTTTAAAATGAGACATCATCAATCATTTTGTCATTGTGAAGCATGACAAATTAGAAAGGAAGCCCATTAAGAAAGTGAGAATTGCCAATCAGGTTACATTAGGTAAATGACTAATGACAACATGGAAGTGCCTAACATAATTCCCTCCCCATGCAAGTACAGTATATCCACTTGTTTCTGTATTCTCTGTCCCAGCCAGGCCAGGCACAGACTGCCCCTGCTGTCTGAAGTCAAGAGCTGGTAGCATGTATAGTCATGAGAACCAATTGACCAATGAAGCTGAAAGAGTTTAGGGAATATATAAGATCAAATGGAATAATAATAGTGCAAAAAAATAAATAAAGCCAGGTTTGAAGTTCATAATGTCCTAGTCAATGATTCACCTCTTAAATATAAAGAAATCTACATTAAAAAAATTGAAACCAGCTGAGGAAGATGCATTGCTAGATTTGCCACCTCCGTGGAAATGAAAACTTTATTTTTCATCAGCACCTATCAGTTCAGCATCTTGTGATTAATCAAGTAGCAGACAGACATTTAGGCACAGCAGCTGTTGTTGTAAACCTGGTTTGTTAGAAGAGGTAGTCCTTTTGCTTCCAGAAACAACAAGCTCCTAAATAACTTTTTATTAAAGCCAAATAAATTGACCACTGAAGCCTTATTCTGGAAAGCAGACATTTTGCTTCAGGACTTTAAAAAAGAATTTTTGATTCAATGACAATGTCTTTCTTATTATTTTAAGAAAGTTAAATGATTGGCATTGTTCTCTCACAAATGAAAAGAAATGAGTTTCTCGATTGTTAAAAGGATCTGTTGTTAATCACTTAATGGAAGAATGAATAAGCAAGGAAGAATAACAGATTATGAAAAAAAAAACAAAAAATACAATTTTCTATGTAATGTTGAAAAGATTACATAATTTATGAAACTAGGTTAGCCTATGCTATTTATTATAATAATCTCATGGAACCAGCTTCTACAGATTTAAACCCATAATTCCAAAGCAGCATTGCACAACCATTAGTGCAAAGCTAAGATAAGCAAGCAATACCTTCTGTCTACAGCTGCATGACCACTGATATTATGTTACTAAATGATTAAATATACTGGTGCTTTGTAACCTAAGCTGTACTCATTTAACATTAAATAAGAAAAACTGTTTCAGTGAAGAACTTTTTTTAATCACAAAATACATGATGTATTGCTATCTCAAATTTCAATAGTGACATTACATAAACTGTATTTTAAGATAGCTGCACCCCATTCTACTAGAACTGTCTGTGGAATCAAATATCTATAAACCTGGAATCACAATTCATTGTAATCCACTATGAACATTTTTATTAAAATGTTCACAAAGTCCATGTGTTTTGAATGTACTGCATGTCTCCTGTAATGACATGTTTAATGACTGAACCATGTATAGTAGATGTCCTACAACTACTGTAAATGGACATTCCCAGCCAAGAACTGGAAGATGATTGACTACAATGCAATACAGTGGGCTGAGGAGATTCAGGACGGTCTGGACAAGCTATAGCTTTCACTATAGCAGCCTCTTGATGACATTTTCCACAGATTAAAGTATTTCACTATTTAAATATAAAATGTCCTCTTCAAAATGAAAACATCCAAAAACCATTATTCCAGATGTGGCCATGGATATTGGAAATTAGAACATGGAATGTGCTAATGAAAGCTTCATCTATGTACTGGACTAGCCCTTCCAGGAGATTTGAGGCTATAAACTGGATCTGCAAGTGTTCATGCAAATAAGCCAATAAAGCAGTTTCTTTGTCCTATGTTACTTATTAAGCAGCTCAATGGTTTGAATACTGACTTCCCATTGCGTGCATTAGTGTTGCCAGAAGCCTCTGGCATTTAGCACTGAACTCAGAACTCATTGGAACACCTCAAATAGTGGATGAATCATCCAACACTGAAGAACAGCCCCAAGGATTTAACCCAATCTGTTCTTTAAAGTAATTAACTGAAGAAAATTATTACCTGACTGATACAGCTTAAAATTTAGTTAATTTCATAAATAAACCTGCCCTTGAGGACTACAGAAGCACGATACTAGTTTAAGGGTAGTTATGTGTGATGTTTTTCACAAGGGAAAACATGTACAGTATCTTATAGTGTAAGCATGATATACATGGGAATTACTATAGGAAATGCAAGCTTTGTAAGTACAGATGGAGGCTGACTTGTTTCTAACAAACCCATTAAACAATGTAGATTCAAGATAATGAAAAAATGGAACAAGAACATAATTTCCAATTAATCACTTCAGATATACCTTAACTGCTTTTTTTCATGATGCATATGTCATTACTTTTTAATCACAGCATTGCTCCTGCCAGGTACTGAACTGTAATTACATTTGTGAATTCTTATTAGCAGATAAGAATTTGATCGTGGACCTTCAGTAGAAGGTTTAACCAAACGTAATTAATTCTGCTGAATTAAGATGTCCTCTATTTCCTCAGTACAGTATTTTCCACTTTGTAAAAATGTCAATACCGGTAGTAAAGCTTCTTCAAGTGCTGTGCTGCTTTCCAGCAGGAGATAACAAAAATATGGGTTTTGCAAAGGGGGGGGGGGTGGAGAGAGAGAAGATTCAAAGCAAGTTTTCTAAAAAAGAAAAATCTAGTCAGCACCTGAGGCCAAATTTCACAATCTTATCAAGCCAAAGAGAGTAGCTTCCCAGCAGGCACAACATAACAAGTATTGGGTAGGCTGCTGGTCTTGCTCCTAAAGCACCAATATGTTAGAACAAGAGCAGGAAAGCATTGTCAATTTACTTACTTTTCAGCACTCGCTGCTATTCTGAATGTATCTGAAGGAGCAGTTCTCGGAAGAAGCAGGGGCTGCTTGATCGGTTTCCTTTCATTCCCTCCCATCTCCACGTCCTTTAAATTTTGATGACTCGAGACATGTACTCTGGACGTACGATGTCGGTCCTTTAAAAAAAAAAGAAAAAACGTATATTTTACCATGCAAATTGAAAAACCACTGAGGGCCGGGTGGCTTGGTGGAGCTGTAAATGGGCAGTATATCATTAACACTCTTTTCCTTTGAGTTCCAAGTGGACAGGTGTCCATGACATTCGGCCAGTGTGACAACTGGCACTCATTAACACCTCCACAAGGATTTGCAAGGGTACGGCCTGACAAAGCCTCTTCTTCCAGTGGGGCATTGGAAGCCAGCACTGCCTTAAGCCTAAAGATATTTTTCATGTATACTATATAAGCATACGCAAAACTGAATCTTCTCTTCTGAAAAGGGCGTTAGATGTTCATCTGAAAGATTCCCTAATGTGTAGTGATTTGTGGCAGTGCTTTATTTTGAATATTTCGTTCTCTTGCCTTCAAATGGAGGAAGAAACACTGGAATGCTAACTAACTAATGTAAGGTTGCTAACTGGTAACAAAGCAGCCCTCACAAAAATGCTATTTTTTATAAATATTCCATGTGGCAAGTTTAATTAAGGGTCTATATAGGTGATCTACAGTATGCATTTGTTGAGCTAAATGCTACTGTCTGTAAAGCTAGCTCTCCTTAAAAAATAAATCTTAATCAAAAGAGAAAAGCATGTATTTTCCTACAATACATTTTACAAATTAAACTGAGACCTCTGCTGGTGTCTTGTAAGAATAACCACTTTTTAAATTGCACTTAAGCCTTTTACTTGTTCTAACTATATAAGCATAGTTTTTCATTAAATGTAGGAACACACTGAAACTAAGAAACCTAGTAGAACTGATTGAACTCACTGGCGTATAAAGGTAATTTTCACTGGGGCTAATGAGTTTAGTTCTATTATAGCTCTGGCACTTCACAGAAAGGACCTAATTAACAAAATAAATGTAAACCTCTTTAATGACTTCCACAATAAAAGAAATGGTATTCAGGATATACTGAAGGTGCATTGCAATCCTTACTATTTCTTTTTTTTGCCAAGCATTGTTAGAATAAAGTTCACTCTGAAGCCTGAAAAAAACTAGAAGGCACAGAGGGCACATTTTCCCTTTCTCTCTAGGCAGTAGAGCCTTGTTACATTTGAACAGAAGATTTAGACTTAACTGTCACTCCAACTGGAAAATTTAGTTCCAGTGACAAAATATTTTAGTTCTGCATGTGATGATCAAGTCTTAAGGAGCACATTAGTTTTTTAGCAAGGCTCTGAACTGTTTCATTTACCTATTAATCTGAATAATCTGCATTTAACTCTGCAAGAGTACAATGATTTGTAGACAGTCTACAGGTGCTGTGTCCACTTCTGTATCAAGGCTGATGTCACGCACATTCTTTGGAAATGCTAGCAGTGTGCAATATTTGTGGTTTGTTATATAACCTCATTTCTTGCAGTCTGAAATCAATGGTTCTTAAATCAAGCTCTAATGTGAAAAACCTCTATTGACATTTTGAAGTAGTACTACTGGGTTTCCAGCATGGTTGGAAGATCCCTGTATTGATGAAAGTACAATAAGCTGACTAGAGCAAGAAAAGTTTTGATGAGTGAACCCAAAGCTAATAAACAACATTAAGCTGTTTATGGCTCATTAGAATCTAAGCATTACAAGACAATCCTGCAACAAAACCCTTGGTAATGGCTTTTTAAAGAAGGGTATACAGGATACTTATAAATAAGGACCCAAACTATCATCAAAAACAGCTGCAGATGCCAGGATTTACTGTTTCTACAACCCCATCGCATCATAATCTTGACTTCTATAAACCACCCATCATGTTCTGAAACATCTTAAAAGTGTTTTACAAATCCACGTGCTAACAGACGGTCAGAGAGCAGCAGAACTCAATTCACTTAGTGCCCTTGTCGGATTTGTCTAGACACGCTAGGCTTAGAGTATTCCGTTTCAGAGCCACCGCGGATTAGATCAGTATCCACACTACTGCACTCATGATTTTAAAAAATAAAAGGCAGGAATAAAACCTTTTTTGCATTAGAAAGAACATGAGCTTAACAGATTTACTCCTGTATTTGATCTTATGCTGAGGGCAGAGGTCTGGTATTCCCTCTTGCTTCTCTTTCAGTAATTATTCATTAATTACTGAGAAGAGATTACACAACTCGTATTACACTTGCATACCCAGGTCGTGTACTGACCCAGCAATGTTTAAAAGGCCACTTAATTACTAATGTTGATGCTTAATTGTTTTTTTTTCTTCATTGATGATACCGTTCTTATCATTTTATTTGGTGGAATACAAAAAACTGAAAGAAACAGTGGTAAACATACATATCTCCTCATGGGCCAATGTGCCAAACAATAATGGTCAAAGTTGAAGCACAGAAGAAAAATATGATTTTGTGTTAATCCATCTATTTTCTAACCTCTTACTCCAATTCAGGGACACAGGGGAGATCTCGACAAGCATCAGTCACAAGGCAGGCTACACCTTTGACAGGACGCCAGTCAATTGCAGGGCAGACACACAGACACAAACGTGCACACGTGAGCCAACTTTCCCAGAAAGGAATTAACCTACCAGTAAGTTTTTGATCTGTGGGAGAAAACTAAAGCATCCAGAGGAAACCCATGCGAACACAAGGAGAACACAATCTCCACACAAATAGCATAAATAATTAATCACTTGGGAAATTGTGATGGATTTTAAATTTATCTTTCCCCTACTTTGCCTATTTCCAAAATCATACACAAACTAAATACTTAGAAGATTCTAATAATTTGTGTGTGTAGCATAAAAATAAATTTTGCTCTATATTTAATCATTCTTTTAACATCTAAAATGATAAATTCTTAGTATAGCAGTTTCAGGTTTTTCCTCAAAGACAATTAAACAGTAGTGAAATGCTGCAATGAAAAGCAATTAAAGCAATAAAATTGCATTGCAATGTCCATGAGAGAGAATGTTGTTCCCTGTACATTAATAAGGCATGTTGTGACAGGTGTTATCCACCCAAGAATCATCTTGATTATAGAGTGTTGCACTAAGGTTTTCCCAGTGGTCAATGGAAAGAAAACTTGCACATAAGGTGGTTCCACTATCAGCCAAACAGTGACTTACAATACAGATCTTTCCCCAAGTTTCAGTGGGATTCCCCCCCAACAAAGAAAAAGCACATAACTATGTGATACTATGTTGACAACATGTGTTGTCCATCTATGGAAGATGTGTCCAGTCCTGGGCCAGGACAGGAACTGTGTTGGGAGATATTGCTGGACTGGTTCACATTCATAGCTTTTCCCAATTCTTATCATAAGATAGTTATCAAACAACAGGAGGCCATTATGCACATCTAGCCTACTTGATAATGTGCAGCTAAATGATCCAAGGACTGCATACAGCTGTTTCTTGAAGGAAATCAGGATATCATATCAGCGTAACGGCAAGACTAGCTTGTTCCATAGTCCCCCGTCCCCTGGGTAAAGAGTAGCTTCCATTCTCGGTTTTAAGTGCACTTACTTCCATGTAATACAGTTCTCAATTTGAGTTACTGAAGGGTCGATTTAACGAAGTGCAGCACTCCAGAACCAGGACTGGGCACCCCTGTTTCATGATTTTTACTTCACAACAAACCACGCTCCTCACTATCTGGGGAGGGGTACAAACAATCGGCTTAGTGTGTGGTCAACCAATCACTACTGGGATGACACCACTGACAAATTATCACCAGGCTGGGGCCAAAGGTTTCTGCAGAGGGAAACGTGGCCTAATAAGCATCTGGCAGCTGAGGCCTCACAGCAGCTAGAAGTGCCAAGGTCTGTTTTTTTTAATTCCTCATTTCAGCTAATGGGGCTATTATGTGATTGGAGATCAAGGATTCTGTAATCATTATTTAATCAGAAACTGATTAATATATGGAGGAAATGGTCGTTTTCGAAAATTAAATGAATAATTAGATCACTTAAGCATTTACACATGTGTTGGTAGGAAACCCAGAAGTCACTGTCGCCCCTACCAGAATAAATCTATCGCCCAAGGAATGGATTGATAATTAACGAGCACTAGAGCTGGCGCATCCAAATGCAGAGTCTATACTGTTAGCTCAAAGTAATCATAAAACAGGGGAAAAGCACATGCAAGGCAAAGAAATCTAGAAGCTGTATTCTGTATTTATCAGCATCCTCATTGTGTTATCAACAAAAAAATATAAAAAGAACTTATAATAATAGGCTAAATGCATTATATATATATATGTCTGAGTTTGTGTTAGTAACCATGTTTTTAATAAAAATATATCCCATATGTTGAGCCTAAAAACAGAGGTGCGCTTATATTGATTACCTGGAAGAACAGAAAGAAAAAGAAAAAAGTCACGGCCCCTTCTCCCTTGTGAACCTTACCTCCTCCGAGCCAGTGGCTTCAGCGCTTGAAGCAGCAGTGACCATTCCTCCCCCGTGCCGCGATTTCTTGCCGTACAAAATGAGAAGGGACACAAGCAAGACGCAGAGGACTGCCAGCACCACCACCGCGGCTAACCAGCCTGTGAAATCTGCTAGCGGGGGTAATGAGGTGGCAATCACAGCAGATGGAACCTTCACCACCTGCAACGATTCAATTTCAATCCTTCAGAGGTATCCTGCAGCAGCTATTCCCCTTCGCTTAGCAAGCCCCAAAACTGTATTTAGTTGCAGAGTACCGATCATAATCTTAGAAACTGTATAGTGTCTCTCTGGACATGACATTGTTTTATAATTTCATCATTTTGCCTTTATTAGAAGACTTACTGTCACAAGTACATCTACAGTATATATACTGTATATAACGAGAGGCCTTCAAGACTCAATAAATTCTCAAGGTTCCTAAATCAATTTGTCCCCTTTATAATGTCTCAAGATGTACTGTTTTACAAATATAATATGTAGGTTAGAGGGGACCAGCTGCAAAGGAATTTACGTGGATTATGTTGAAAAGAAGAAAACCCCAAGGTTTTGGCTGTGGAGTCTTTCTGTGAATAGTCAGGTGTCACACAACTGAAGCAGGTGCCACAGCCATAACATCGCTGTTCAATGTTGAATTAACCTCTTCTTGTTCTTACAAAATACATACACGTGAATTTTTAATGCATAATGTTTGCTAGAATATGTTTAAAGCAGCAATGCCCATTTAAATATGTAATAACATTGCCGTTTGTATCAGATAGGAGAATAAAAGGATATATTATCCCAGTGCTGTAACAACCTGTAATTGTTGCTGTTGTCACTGAAGTGTAATATTCTCTCACTGAAAAACTGTAATGGTTTATACAGTATATATCATCTTGTACGATGTATGTCGGATACATACCTACACTCCTGCATTTTTTAAAAGGGTATAAACTTGGAGTCTGAGCTATTGTCACACTACATGTCCTACAATGTTATTTACTACTTTATAAAGTGTAACAAATATTGTTCGTTAAAGTAACATATTTGACAAGGTTATCACCTACACTATATGTTTACAGAACACTCATTCATTATTGCCGGTTTCATAGTCACCAATGTAAGAGAGTGAATGTACGTTTAGTGGCCAACATGCGTGGAGACTGGCAGTTTCAAAATGCATTGCAATTCTTTTTCATTCTACATAACGCTTCACAAGTAATTAAAGCACAATACAAACCTGAACCTCATTTTTTGAAGAAATTGCCTATGTTAGATCAAGTAAAACCCTGAAAACATATTACATGGAAAGTGACTAATTAAGTACTAATTGACATTCACTTATATTGTATGTATAATGGATTAAATCACAGCACCTCTCAAAGAATACATACTGGATAAGGTAGGTTTTCATTTAAGGTACCAATAAGGTCTGGAAGCCTATTCAATATTTCTTCAACATCTTTGGCTCTGAGTAGGTTTCCATCAGACAGTACAGCAAACTCTATAAGGACATCTGCACTTAGTCTGCGGACAGTGAAAATCTCCACCTACAGGAAAACAGACACATACAATAGATGAGCAAATCATACATTCACATCATGATAATATTCCATATATTGCTTTTTATAGACTGAATAGTAAATAATATAAATTTGCTAATTACAGATTAATAACTAGTTAAAGATTATATAGTACATAATGTAAAGTGGCACAAATGAACTTTTAATAAACAAAATTGCACTTGAATATCTAAACTGCCATAACATTTCTTCTAACATGTCCTTTTTTCTACTGATTTATTCTTGTTTGATTTACACAGTTTGTTTAGGTACCAAGTCTTTCATGCCATGATGATTGTTCACATTTCTATATGGTACCATGTAATATTCTTTCTTTTCCCTGAGAAACCAATAAACAAATTGAACATACTATGTATATTTTTCTTGATTTTACTCTGAGCTTTAAAGCTAAATCTGAACATCTTAGGTTGATTGCTATTTTCAAATCTTTACAAATTCCATTCTTTGAATACTGGTGATGACTTGCCTGCAATCTATTTTCATTTTCTTGCTAGAAAAATCAATCTGCTTATCTAATTAATTGAACTTCATGACCACGATCTCATTACTGAGGGCATGGGGAGTCTTCGGATTCAGTGCCTGAACAAGCATATTTCACAATCATTTCCTGCCATTAAATCTTTTCCTCCTGCTTTCTGATTTCTGCACAGCCACTTCTAACTGCAATCATTTAGACACGCTTGGTTTGAGGTAAAGAAACCAATTCTGCATTTCAGTGCGATACTTCCCTTGCTGAACAAATTTGTGTTAATTGAATGGATAGCGATAAGACCTAGAGTTGTAAAACTTAAATATATTAAATAATAGATCAAATGAAATATAGAGAGAACTCCTAGTCACGTACATTAATCACTGGGGCACTTCTCTTGCTTTTTGTCTTGTTGGTTGCTGCTGCCTGGAGAAATGTACGGATCAGACCAGTGCTTACTGCATTCTGAAAAGGTTCACCAAAGATATTCACAGATCTGTTTACCCGCAGGGTAATTTCTAACAGATGCTCTGCTTTAACTGATGGAGCAGTTGCAGAAACATTGGATGGTTCAGGTAGACTGGATATTGTATACGATGACAATGCTGGCACTGTTTGGTGTGGCTGAGATAGATGAATTCCATTGCTGATGGCCTGAGCCATTTTTGTCTTTAATGGAACATAATCCGTTGACATATTGAATTGGGAAACTGTGGGTGTAACTGTTACAGATCCTGCTGTCGTAAGAGTCCATAGATTTGGAGTTGGCATTGATGCCAAACTCACAAAGTTAGATACTAAATGGTCTGATAATTTAAAATACGAACTAATCATAAATCCTGTGCTATAAATTGTAGAGGGAAACGAACCACTAATCAAGACCATGGTTGTCATAGATGACATGGAGGCAAGTGGTAAAACAGGACTTGGGAAAAACTGCTGCGTTGGAGAATTTTCCATATCAAATAAATAAGACTGCTTCAGGGGACGTGTATATATTACCGTGGTTTGAATGACTGGCAAAGTGAAAGGATAGTCTTTTCTGGAGAGAGAGGAACTAGTAATAGCATCGAGTGATGACTCTAATGACTCTGTGGATTGTTTTAAAGTGGAAAAAGATGAGACAGGTGAAAATGAAGTTGACAAGGGCTTCTTTCCTGTGCTGCCGTCTGCAGTGAGAGTGGGGATTGTTTTTGTCACAGAAGACAAATTTTCTGTATCTGCAACAGACAGCATGATGAATGCTGACACCCCTGCAGGGAAAGTCATTACTGCTGAGCTGGAGAAATGGGGGGGAAATGCAGGTAATGTTGTGTTATAAACGGAGGCTGCTGCCAGGTTCTGCTGCAGAGATGTGCCACCAAATGACATCTCTGGCCAAAAAGCGCTTTGTAAAGTGTTTAAGTTAGAATCGATAAGAGTTATTGAAGATAAACGGTCTTGCAAATCCTGTGTCCAAGATCCAAATGAGTCTCTCACAGAAGATGCAGCTGGCATCAGCTGTGAAAAAGATTGAGATGAGTGTCCAGCACTGCCCCCTTGTGGATTTGTACTTGAACTTGCAGCTGCCAAATACAAAGATCTAGTATCCAGGCAAGCAGGAATGCAGGAAGCCCCCGTGTCTGGAATAGGCTGACTATAATGTAATTCAGATTGAACACCTGTTGGAAATAAAGTCAATGGGAGCGCTGAAAAAATCATAGTTCGAGTGGCAGTTATCTCTCCTGAATAAAAACTTGATAACCCTGTCTCAGATGTAGATATCAAGCTTGCATCTTTTTCAGAGTTCAAACCCTCTGAAACAAGCAGTGACAAATAACTATCTGTTTTAATGTGACCTACATCAGGAGAAAAAGAGTTTTCAAACATATCTTTCACTGAAGTGTGTTCAGAGGAATACAAATCTTTGTTGAATACTTCAGCAAAAAAAAACGACATGGATTCTGGAACAGAGAAATCAATATTTGCTACTGAATAAGTTGAGTAAGTGTCCTCAGTCTTCACTGCATCCGACACTTCCGTATTAGAAAGTTCTGACTGAAGTAGTTGCCTAGAAGCTGAGCTAAAACTCTTGGTGACTTTTATCGTGTCAGTAACTAAAGAAGGTTCTAAAAGGGAGACAGAATTTTTTACAGTTAATGTACTTGGAAAAAGAATCATTGAGTTCAGGTGACTCGTTTCAAGTAATTCTGTATCAGAAAAAACAGAAGACCAGTCAATTAGAGAGAGATAAAGTTCACTTTGTGAACTCACTAAAGGATCTTTTGATGGCAGGAGCATTGCTGAGTCAATAATGTCTACACGATCAGACTCCAGATGCTGTGGAGCATAACTAGAAACCTCTGGTACAGATGTTTCAAAAACAAACCTTTTGCTTTCTAAAGATTGTATGCTATGCAAGACACTATCACTGTGAGAAACTGCATATTCTGCATTGAAAGTAAACAGGTCCTTCTGAAAAGACTCTTGTCTTGTAATGTCTCTAGAAAGTGGCAAAATAATTATTTCTTCCACTCTGCTTAAATCATATACCAAAGATACTGGTGTAGTTATAGTAGTCGAAAATATTATTTCTGATGGTTCAAAAACAGTTCTGATGACTTCACTACTTAAGCAATCCATTGAGGAAATGCACAGCTCTTTGAAGCCTTGTGAAAAGTGCATGTTGCCTGTCATTTTATCCTCATATTTAACTCTGCTCTCATCAAATCTGGATGACCCGAACACAGTAATCATTGAATGTGCTGGCAGGAAAGAAGGCTCCACTAAATTATTATTCAAAGTGCTAGCAGTGTCTTCACTATAAGTTGGCGAATAAGCCAAATCAAAAGAAAGGATGGGATATTTGAAAGGATCTTCAGAAGGAACAACTTCACTCGCTGTTGACACTGGTGTTGTTACAGGATAAGAAGGTGTAAACATGTGCATATTTTCAAATGCTGTGTTTAGTTCATTACCAGCTAAATCATGGACTGATTCTTTCATGGTTGTTAAGTGGGTTAGGGCAATAGATAATCTCTCTGTCTGGGGCGTTTCAAGAGAAATCATACTCTCTTCTACATAGATTTGTGATTGCAGTACAGGATCATTTATATCAGAATGGATATTTTCAGACCCCAGTAAAGAAAACTGAAAGCCGTTATCCCTCACTGTATTCGATATATCTGCTGAGGGAAACCAATGTGAAACTTTATCATTATAAAAAGGGCTGCTCCTAAGTGGATCCAAAGCCGTAGCATCTTCAGATAAGAAAGCTCCACTGTAACCTTCTGCTGATACCCAGGTGAGAGACAGCTGCAGACTCTGCTCATCAGTTTCACTTAATCCAGCTCTGTGCATGCTGTTTGAATAGTCCATCACAGGGGTTTGTGTGGAGTCATCTGGTTTAAATCCATCAGAGGCTGCATAAAAATCATTATTGTCTAAGTCGGGAAAAATTGGGTTTTGAGACCATGCTACGCTCTTAAGGGCTACTGGCAAAGCATCAGACAATGTGCGTGATTGCATCAACTGAGCTTTAGTTTCAGCAATGTAAGAATGTGATGAAAGTAAGATGTCTGAATTTTCAAGAAACGAAGGAAGCCAACTGATTTCAGACATCATTCTCACAACAAGACTTTCAGATTCATCAAGTTGAGAACTCAGTCTTTCCATAGGCTGCAATATATCTGAAAGTACAGAATCAATGGGATAATTGCTGTAATGCACTGCTAGGACCAAGAAAGATGAGCTCTCCAAACTTTCAGCAACACTAAGACTTTCTGTGTCCAAAGGATGATCACTATGGTCAGATATGATATTTAGAGATGATAGGTGAGATTGTACAGTAACACTGAGAACACTGGGTCCTAAAAATAAATCAGACTCCCCGACAATAGGAAAGTTTTCTGTTGGAACTGTATCAATGCTAGTAGAGACTAATGGATTCCACTGTTCATCCGCTAATGTTAGCATTAGTTTTTCATCTGAAAAAGGAGTGATAGACAGAGGATTCGTTATAATCTCATGCAAGAGAGATGCCTGCAACTTAATAACTGTAGCACTCAATTCCTGAAGACTTGATTCAAGATGAAACAAGGGAAACACTTCCCACGATATTCCAGTCCTAGTGTCACTTCTGCTCCGTTTTTCCAATTCCTCTGATTCTGGAGCTATAAGAAAATTCCTTGATGAGCTGAACACCAAGGCTGTGTCCAGTGCTAATGTTCTTTGTGTTGCAACAAAAGGTCTCATCGAAGGTGAAAGGTCAGAAGAAAAGGAACTTTCAGCAGCTCTGCGGAATCTTCTGTGCGATATTGTATTTTGATTGCCTGCAGATATTGGAGAAAAAAAAATCAAACTAGAATTTCTAAAACTATAATTGACAATAACATACATAAGTATACAACTACATAACATAATATTCTAAAAGCTGAAATTCCAAATTGGTTTATATTTGGTAAGAATCTGACATATTATAGGAATTAGGCTCATAATCATGTATAAACTACCTTATAATTACAACAGCATTTTGAATTTTAAAGATGTTATCTACAACTAAGATATTTCTATTTTCCACTAGATGGCAGTAAAGACAACACTAAAAGGTCATTTTATTTATATTTACAATATCAATAATTTTCAAATTGTCATCGATTGTTATCCTGTTTTATTAAGCTCAAATGAAGTACAGTAAAAATTAGTCTAATTTATCACACAAACGTGAGCAACAGGCCAGCACTTATTGGAAACCTCCACATAAACAAATGTCAACACTATTTTAAATTCCAAAAGAATTCAGATTATCTAGTAAACAAATACACGATATCTCACAGAGTCCTGGTGTTCCATACAAAAAATAACTTGATACAATAAACATAATTATATTATCCGTTATGAATGCAAGACAATTATGTACTTCTGGTATTTCCCACCTGAAACTGAAATACATCCTTTCTACGAGCTATTGTATGTACAGTTTCAATGCATTGATGCCATGACAGTTTTTGACAAGTTATTTAACCTTTTTTTACCTTTTTTAAAAAACAGATGGCAGGACCTCAGCCTCCTCATTGCCCATATACAGATCCGTTGTTTTACTTTCTATCCAAGAAAAAGAATCCAATATCCCAAACTTCATTCAGGGTTTTTTAACAAGCTAACTTCTAGTGTTATACTTTTTACTTCTTTATTGTGGTTTATACATGTTGAGAAATAATAAAAATATGACTGCAGCATCACTTAGCTGATAATATTCAAAGTACTACAAAGATGAGACACAGCACTCTACTGGGATGTGCATTAGGAATCTTGCAATGAAACAAGCATTTTTGTAGCCCACTGCTAAAGAATAAAATAACATTTAAATATTAACAGGCTGAAGCCTGGTGATGTACCAACAGTTTTGTTTACCTAAAGGCATCTTATTTTTATACAGTATTTTCAACTTAAAAAGAGTCTCTGACATCAGAAATACTGCACACATTAGCATCATATTGTAATGCAACATGAAATATTTGCATGACTTCAAAGTCAATTCTAAGTAATTTTACTTATCCAAGAAAAAATTGATTTATGCAATGAAGGAGGTTGTTTAACATAGTTAATTACATAAAAATACATACCAGGGAGTATTCCTGTAGAGAATGGTAGTTTATCCCAGAACAGCAAGCTAAAGTCTTCAGCTCACTGAAGTTAAGATCTGATACATCAGTATCCCGCTTACAGAGATCAAAGTACACTTTGTGAATATTCCTTTTCTTGTTAGAAGCATTGCCTTTGAAAATACAAATTTCAAAACATTAATCTTGCATCATTTCTATTTTAAAAATATTATTCATACCACACAAAAAGTTTTTATATGATTCCAATTTATTCCTAAAAAAATACATCTAGAGTAATGTCTAGCCATTAGACCAATATAATAACAAGATATTGGTAAAGCCTTGCCTGTCTTTGACTCCTGAATTTGGAAAAATCTCCCACGTCTCCTATGGTTGTAGAGGTACTCCTGACAGAGACACAGGGGTCTAAAGTGGAGGGGCTGAAAAACATGGCATTACTGTAGGTTTTTGAAGTTTTATTCTGGTCCCCTACAAAACTAGGGTTTGTCCACTTGGCTTAGACTCTACAATAGCTATTAAAGTTATACATAAAAGATGTTTACTTACTTGGCTTGATGTTTAGTAATTTGTTCTACAGTACAGCTCACATAAAGAGTTTTGTTTTTTTCTTTCTTAGATTTGTACAGGATGAAAATACAGTGGTCAAACTTTAAATTTGTGTACTTTTCAGATTAGGGGGTATTACTGATGACTGATATTGTCATGACGTGATCATGATTTTATTGAATGAACAATACCTCTTAGACTTTCAAGTGTTATTTTATAGGATCTTTAGTAAGAATTAATGTAAATCTGCAGTCATTATTCTAAAGTGTTTCCAATATGATTGTTGCCATTTATTCCAATTGCATAGTAATTTTCATGGCCAAGATTCACAAACAGCTTTACACATACTGTAGGAGAAGACTCACTTCATACACCACTGAAGTGCTGCCCACAACCGAGTGATGTACAGCAGCTATTATACGCTATCAGCCCCACTACACAGTCGATCAGGTGGAGAATCCAGAAATAAAGTAAATTCACCAATTGAATTAAAGGGGAATATTAAGGTAGGCTGGACTGTACAAGACAAGGGTGGAAATTAGCCAGGACACCAGGATTAACTCTTTTACTCTTCTAAACAGTACCATGGATTTTAAGTAACCAAACAGTCAAGACCTCACTTTAACATCTTACCTAAAGGGCAGCAACTCCTATAGCAGAGCAGTTCTGGTCACCATATCACAGCACTGGATATAAATAGAAGTTATTTCTTGAAAATGCTATAGTTCAAAGGTCTGAAATTAATATATATGGTGTTAAATATGTTTCCCTAGAGCACAGCACTAAATGTTATTTTGTCTGCTCTACTAACTGAATAAATTTACTCACCTACCATGAAGTTACATAGTTACAAATTTACATTGCCTGCCTAGCTTTGTTCTGTCAGGACAATTTATCTACACAACTTAATAGCTACCTGTGAATCAGTTTCGCAGTATTCACACTCCACACAGAAGCAAAATGATTTCTGAATCCTTGCACCCTCATTAATGTCCTCCTTCATACTCTCAAAAGCATGTCTTAGCAAGGAGCACACTGTCAGACCTAAAACAGAAGCAAACAAATATTCAGCGCTGACAATCATCTAAAACACCCATTTTACAATCCATCCATCCATTTTTTAAACCGCTTTATCCAGTACAGGGTCACAGGGGAACAGGAGCCTGGCCCCGCAAGCAATGGGCACAAGGTGGGATATCCGGTAGCATTTCAAATTGTCCCGAAAGTCTATACAATTTGTATCTTACGCATTTCACGTGTTAGATTTCTCTGTATGATGAAAGCTTGAATATTGTGATTGCCTTCCTGCCCCTGCACAAAAGTTGCCGATAACTAACGGTGGCTCAATCCTTTGGATTAGGGTTTAAAGGCAACCCCGCTATTGCATTTATAAACTGATCTCGGGGAAATAATGACAGTCGCTGTACAACGCAACATATTTAAAAAAAAAAGAAAAGGTTTTACCATGCTTAATTTCTGTAATGGCGAAGACCAAGTGGCAAAAACCAAATAAGAATAACTTCAGCATTTTCCTTCCCTTTTCATTTCCATGGAGACAAACTAGCGTCCTTTTAAAGACCTCTGGGGGTAACTAGCAGCTTAAGCGCTGTGGATACTCATGCTCTGCAGAATAAAATGAACCGTTAGTTTTCCAGTTGTGGCAAGTAGGTTACAGAAGACGATACTAAATAACACACTTGATATTAGACAATTCAGTCTCACCTAATTAGACCAGCCATATGCTAAACCAACAGTTTATTTATCAGTATAGTAAACAGAATTGCTTATTTTTTTATTTAAAAAAAGGAAACAATAATAAAACTGAAATCAGAAAACTAGGCTCAAGTCAGAAAATTATTTCATTACACCCGTTTCTGTTAAGATGCAAACACCTTATAAATACAATTAATTTTCATCAGGTGGTAACATTCGTCTACAGTACCTCACTACGGTGTTGCATTCCGGAAAAACTAGCGCGGCAATTCTAACTGCATTGTCTTGACACTTTAAAAAACAATTTCTGTGAAGTATGCAACAGCGTATCTTACCTTACCAAGTACGCCGCTAGCCTGTCAGAGTTTGGGTTCCTGGTGCCTTGGTAACTGCCTGTCCCTTGTTATTTGGGAGAATGTTGTCTCCCGAGACTTTCAAGCTTTCTGAAGTTCAGTGGCACAAAGCGCATCATCGGTTTCCTACAGAGCTAAGATTAAGCTGCATACTGTACAGCATGCATTATCTTACCAGCAATCACTTTGGAGTTAGACTGCAACATCTGTTAAAATAATTGTAGACTATGCTATATACATTTACTATTTTCCACAATGTTGTTATGCATGGTTGTTTTATGTTTTAAAAATACTTTCAGTATAGTGTAGCGATGTGTTCTAAAACTACAACACAGACATCATTGATCCGAGAGCTACAATGAAGAATGATGTAATTCAGAAAAAAAACAAGCTCCTCGACGTTCTGGAGTCTCCAAGCGCATTTTATTTTCAAAATTAAACATGCATTTTTTTGGTCACGTATTTAGCATAAAAAAATGAGCACGAATAAATTTCCGTATTTTCCATCTCTGTACGATACCGCCACCAGAAATGAAGATATCTGGACTAACCTCTTCTCAAACCGAAATGATAAAGAGCGGCCCGTAACCTCTGAGCAGGAACCGTGGCCCAGCAGCTTGGCGGTGATTAAGTATCAGCCGCTAGACTTTTACTGTCCACCGGCGGGGTCCAGTACCGCATGGAGCGAAGTGGATGATGTCTGCGAACTGGCCATCAGACTCAAGGAGATAGAGTTGCTGAACCTTGTCGGAGCAGGCTTTGATTCCAGGAGATGTAATTATCATTGTTGTTGTTGATTTGAATGCTTTCTGAACACTTGGTGAGAAACGTTAGGCTTAACTTACCAGGTTAATGGACAGACTCCGGGCCATAGGACGAGAGGACAATTCACAGAGGGTAGAACCAAGTGAAACTTTCAAAGCGGACATGGGTCAGAGGAGGGACGCTTGAGGCGAATGGGGAGGGAGGTGTTTGAGTTCAGCACATATCGTTTCGTCATGATGGTGATTAGGTACAGCTGCGTTAGACTGAATTGTTTTTACCCCACCCCCCGGGAGTCAATTAATAAGGTCCATTTGAAGCACACAACTTTGTATTTGTAAAATACAAATGCACAAAAAAAGGAATGACAAAAGTATGTCATGGTAATAAAACTTACACTTTGGTGAATGGCAGTTCGTCAGAAAACAATCCAGAATACTGATGTGATGCTTTTTTTTAAAACCTTTCTACGAGTTAGGGACTCACCATTGTGAATGGAAGTTTTCCATCATGATGCCTTTTCTCCAACAGATCTTTTCCTGAAGACCTTAAAAGACGAAAAGACGGAAGAACTTTTGGGAGGGAAAGCAGACGACACCTTAACGTGACCTGTGAACGTCCCGAACATCCATAGTCCGTGTAAATGTCAGTTTAAAGGTTAAGTCTTGTGCCAGTGATGATAACAAAGAAAATATTTTGATAATACAATTCATATCGATTTCCTGATGCATGGATACTGTATGTCCTGTTGCCTTTTTTTGCACTTTAATTGGTATTATGAACAAAAAAAGATTGCACGCGTTCTATCCTCATGAAGAAGTACAAGTGGATTCTGTGTGGACAAACATCAGTGTTTTACTGATTTTTACCTCGTCACCGAAAACGTGCTTTACAGTCATGTTGATTCTGATATTAGTTGGGGTAGGTATTATTCCAGCTTCAATGCAGATAGTACTGCACCTTTGCATTTACAGTACGTACTGAGGACGACCAGAACAGTACATTGATTGCAGATATAATAACATATTATGTACTGATATACTACAATATTGCAAATTCCACAACGTATGCTTGAAAAAAATCTAATAACAACAGTACATCAATCCATTACCTGAACAACACTTTTATTGGGCTTGTTTCAAGTGATTTGGTTAAAATATATTTTTATTTAGTTTTTCTTTTAATTTTTAATGCAGCACTATAATGCAAAGATGTTAATTTATACAAATGAAACTGGTCGACGGGTATAAAGAAACGAACAGAAAAGCTACAATTTGTACGACACAGGTCATGATAGCAGTTACATATTGGCAGAAATCAGTTTTTAAACGTCTTTGATAGATATTTCTGCAGATTTGTCTCAAAAAGTAGAAGACCTTAAAACCAATACACACAAAACTATATATAAATACACTACACTTCAAGTAAATAAAATATTTCATATATCTATACACGGTTTTTATTACTAGAGGGAATGTGGGGGGGGAAACGCTATACATTTAGATGGGCCAAAAATATATACATACAGTATATTCATATATAAATAATGATGAACTTATGAAATATGAATGATAGATGAACTAACTGAACCACAGGTGAGTTTTCTTTGTCTAATTATCTTTTGTTTCCCCTCACAAATTATATTTATATACAGTTTTTCTTCATTGAATCTGTCTTAGGCCATATTTTAAAAGAAACCATGCTTAGTCATCAAAGATCCTAAACTAAAATTACTTTTTAAAAAGACATTCTGCAGAAGCCACAAGTAACTGCATTTCATTTTCAAAATCAAAAATTAAAATCAAGTGTACAGTAAACTATGTAACTGTAAAAGGAACAGAATTGCTATCATGGGAACACCAGGCAGTTATTCTGATGTCTGCTGACGATTCTACTTACAGTATAAGCAAAAGTTCCTCATATTGGGGCTATTATAAATTTAGCTGTTAAAATATCAGATACTGGCCTTAAAATTATTCTAAGAATAGATCTTTGACATTCCAGACAAAATTAACTATTTATTTAGCAATTACAAGCACCCAAGCTTTTTTAAAGTCATACAGTAAAGGTATGCATATGTTCAATAGCACAGGTACGTAGGAATACAAATTGATAACTCCCAGTCCTGAACTAATCATAGTAAAAAAAACTAGAAGCTCCCTTGAATATCTGTTATCATACAGCAAAATTAATGTATGACAACATGCAATAATTGCATTGATACTGCCGGCCCGGTGTTTTTGCCCTTTTCAATGAGATTCCACATAAATATGACAAATAACCTGTCCCAACCCCCAGCTCCCAACCCCCTCCGCCTATCTAATACATACATTTATTTTATTTTAATAATAATATGAATGTTTAAAAGTTAAAGTGCATTTTTTAAATTGTTTCCTTTTATGAGCTACAGTACAATCATTCACAATAAATCAAAGTTCTCACATTCACAAACTGCAGTTCAAAATTTGGAGCAGAATCAAAGTGTAAAATCTAACACCTGATCTAGCTTCTTGGAGAAGGAGAGTCCTAGACTGTTTAAACTACATACAGTACATACAAAAAAGCCCTTGTCTTGGAAATCCTGGGGTTGCATGCATCAAAGCATCCATTTTGTTCGTAAAATGCATGCCAATCTATTTAAAATATATATTTTAAACATTCAGTATACTCCATCACAGAATTTATGGACTACTAAATTTCTGACCTATATCCACGATGGGAAAAGTTGTAGTTATGGTGTTTTTCTTCTTACAACCATTTTATTCCTTCCACATAATATCCTAGTCCTGAAGTGTCCCCTACATTTTCAAAATAAACACTGTTTTTTAAACTAAGGGGGCCTGGATAAGAATGCCATATAAATTTGAGACTGCATTCTTCTATTTTACATTGTAATGCATATATGGTATGAATACTGTATATTAAACTGGAATCTGAAAGTCTACAAAAATATCCACTATCATTTAAATTACATCAGAACTCCTTAACAGCAGCATTTACAACACTGTGCACTAATTCTGGGTTTTTTAATCTGTTATGGTGATAAAGGTGTTGCTGGTTTACCAAGGAAATCTTTTCACACACAAATTAAGTCCGAACTTACTGCTCGTTCCTCTCAGGTAGGGTAACTACTATCAAAAAAGTAAATATTTGTATACTGTATATATATTTTCTACTTTCTTTTCAAACTTAAAAAAAAGATATTGCTGTCTACAATAAGGGTGAAACAGCTGAAAATATTTCATTGTCTTTTAAAAACTAGAAAATAAACACATACAAAATATTTGTTTAATGTTGGACCAAAATACAGCTGACATCACTACTAAAACATTAGATTTTTTGAATTTTCAAGTGTATTTAAATGTTCCAGTTTTTAATTTGTGGAAAGATTGTTATTTCAAAAGGCCTTTCTTTATCCCTTCAGGCTTGCCAAATATTCCTTAAAATTCAAAATTAATGTACAAAATGATGCACCAACAGTAAATGTATTTTATAAGAAATTACTCAATATCCACAAAACTGACAACTAAGTATCATGAATTTTGGAATAGATGTTATGTCTTGAGTTTCCTCATGTATAAAATGTTAAAATTACAAGTGCTCTTTATAGCATACATATCAAAAATATTAAAGAGCCTCCTACATTTAAGTAAAACCAATAAAACTGTGTGTAACATGTTGACACGGGAACAAAACTGGAAAGCAGATATCAACACTTGAGGAGAATAGCCATATCTGTACAGCTGCACACCTAAAAAACATAAAATGTGAAACTGTCCCTGTTTTGACAGAAGAGGATTGTTTACTTTGCTCAGTAAAGAATTTGGTAAGTGCATACAAGTCACACAACAACAAGGCATGCACACAATAAGGGAGTTAGTTTCCTGATTCCTGCAATGTTCGTCACTCAGAGTAAGCGACTAGATGAGAAATTGTCCCAGAAATGACACATCACATCTTCCAAGAGCATCCTAGACATGTTCGCCAGGATCGAGATCACCTGACTTCTCAGGCCCTTGAATTCTCTTGATGCAAGGAGACTGGTTTGTTTTTTCCATCAGTTTCACCATAAATATTCATTCGGACTATGAGTACTTCCCCCAACAGTGTGTAAACAACCAAAATCCCTCCAAATGTTTATATTTTTGAGGGTCTTGGAAAATAATTTATTATTGATGGAGTTCTATGGCAAGACACAGTGAAGAATTTTAATTAACTGTTGATTCATGAACTGTTAAAGTGCAGCAAGTCCTGGATTCATTGCATCGCTCATATAGCTGCATATCAATTTATTACACCTATGTTTTATTTATATGTATTTATATGACATATTACATATTGTTGTAATATGTGGTCTTCTGAATTTACAAACAATGTACAGGACTTATTTTAACACTATTTCTAACATCAACTTTTCTTCCCTTTTTATAAAAAAAAAACAAATGCTTCAAAAAATTCACATTATAGGATGTTGCCAAAATGTGCATCTGGATCCCCCACAGCACAGATAGAATATAGTTAGAATATAATCCTGTGGCCCCAAATCTAATGATTAAGTTAATTAGGTGCAGCATTTATAAACTGCTTCTGGTTTCACAGGGATGGTTTTGTGGATGAAGACCATTTTACTCATATTTAGCGTCTTGACTTTTCGGTTGTTTTTTTAATGAAAACCCACAACTCAAAAACAGAATTCCCCAATACTGACAAGATAATGACTTTTTACATTTCATCGATAAAAAAGGCAAGCCCTCACATATAAAAGACAAGTAATCAGCGGTCACTACAGTCATCGGTGTCAGCGAATCAGGACGGCTGAACGAGTGACTTTTCGGAAGTCGATGGAAGGAACTATGAGTGCAAAGCGCTGAAATAAGGTATGGCCTCCACTTCTTCCCTGCACGTCCCTGCAGTGGGGAAAAAAAAAAGAACTACTGCTACAGGCGCCGAGGCCCGCTAGACCTGGAACTCAAACATATCCGTCTGCTTCTTGGCCAGCTTGGCCACCTCCTCTCTTATGGCCTTGACCAGCGCGGCGGTAGAGATGTTGGTGAGCGAGGTGTCCGAAGTGTCGTTCTCCGTCAGGCTCTGCTGGGAGGCCGCAGTGGACGGCGTGGGGGGCTGCTCCAGGGAAGCATGCACGGGGGAGGCCTGGCTGTAGTGCCGGGGGTGTCGCGGAGGACTGTTTTGGTGGTAACGGGAGTGGGGATAGGCCTCCACATAGCCTGGAAGGGGAACCTAGAAAAGAGGGCATTCCAAACGTCATACCCTCAGGTCAGAAGCCAGCACATACAGAGCAGGCAACGAGCAAAAACCCAGATATTCAAGGCCAAGAAATCACTACAATTCTTCGAAACTAATTATACTTACACACTATAGATCAATTATGAAATCTTCTATTTTTGATGTGCTAACTTTAACATGTTTTACCCGAATAGTCAATTACACTAGAAACACCTCAAATGAGATATCGCTTTTTATATAAACATTAAATTACATTACAATTCTGTTACTCTGGGTTTATTACATCAGGGGTACTTTTCCTCTGGTTGTTTCACTATTTCACAGACTTCCATAAATTGTTCATTTAATACCTAGCCCAACAGCGACAAACAGCCCCACTTTAAGTGTGGTGTAACTGTACACAGCTTTCCACCCGTCCTTAGGTTTCAGATAGCCATGTCTTGTTTGGCGAGGAAGCTGTGCAAAACAAATGCATCAGCAACACCTCAACATTTCTGAGGGAGAGCTGGGCAAAGCTTTACAAAGCCATGGCAATGAGGGGACCTGGCTGAGCTCCCAAATGGCAGGCAGCCATGTGGGTTAAGCTTCAGGCATATGATATCTGTAGTGACAATCTGGCACTGCACAGCCATGAAACATTCTCAAGACTTTTGTCAGGGATTTTTAATTTCCAAGAGAAATTCTCCTCTTCCTATTATTATTATTATTATTATTGAAAGTTACAGAATATGAATGCTTCACTGATACGAGTAACAATTTCAAAGAATAAGTTCCTAAATTAAGGGAATTAGCCATTTAACTTAGTTTGTAGCTGCTTATAACAGTCTAGGCACGCTTTATAAATGAAAGACTAATGGTTTTCTGCCTGATTGGGTGCCTTGCGAGAGCTTTACCACAATAAACGAAACCAAGCATTCATTTAATTTGCTTTTCCGTCATGCATCATGTCCGCCTGTCTGTGCTTTAACATCATGTCACTTTGTTGTACTTTAATCGTGTCTCACCACGATATACCAGGGCTGAGTTTTAAAAAAGGTAATGCTCACTTATAAGCTGATATGTATTTGTACAGTATATGTGTGTCTGCTATTACAAAGATTAATAAACCGCACTTCAATTTTATCTGCCCACTAAGCTTTTCAAACAGGGTGAGACACTAAATCTATATTTATCATGAGCCATCAGTTTTTGTAGGGCACTGCAATTTACTTTCCCAAAACAGCATGAATTAGACAGCGTGCATTAAGTAAGTGTGCCAATCCATCCGAGCAGAAAACATTCACATACAAATAAAGAAGCCTGTAAAAGAAGGCTAAGATTAATGAGCATTGTAGGCCAATTTGAAGGAGGTGAAGCATTTCTACTTTAAACCACATATACAGTAGCTGCTAAGATGTAAATGAATAATAATGAGTGGTGCCTTACAGATTCAGCCCACTGATTTGGCACATCTCCTTCAGAAGGGTATGGCATCCAAGCTTGGGTCCTGTACGGAGCGGAAGGGGTAGGGATAAAGTAGCCTGTGTATCCGGGCCTGTTTGCTGGTATGGCATAGACTGCTGGTGCTGGGTTACCTATGGACAGCAGAAACCGGGAAACGGAGCGTAACCACCTGGCCCACACAGAAACAGGGATAAACAGCCTGCCTCACCTCCTTGAAGGTAACTGTAAATCGACACGGTCAATGCAACCATGTCAAGTCACTGGACAATCGAGAGGAGGAAAGGTATTTGTCGCCATTCTAGTCCCTTTTTGTTCTCATTTCCTTCTGTTTGTTTTTCTTTTTTTATTGATTTTCACCAACCATTGTACAACCAATGTCTGCAACCAAGTGCAAACGTATTCTACAATGATGTTGTACAAAGACGAAAAGTAATAAAACTGTCATTATGAAAAGAACAGATAGGCAGCATGTGTGTTTGAGGTGTATTTGAGGAGAACTCACCTGAGAAATTAGAGATGGGCTGCTCCACAGAAGCTGAAGAGATCGGTGCTCGTGTGATTGGCACATAGGGGGCAGTATCGTGCTGACTCTGCTGCTCAGGGATGGACGATTCTGAAGTTCTTGTTTTTGATTCAATGTCTGATGAAGATCTGACATAAGAAGCAGCTTCAATTTTCCAGTCTCTGTTATTCGTGGCATTGGCCACAAGGGGGCGCAAGTACCTCATGGAAAAAACTCGAGTGGAAGTCACGTTCTAATTGCAGAACCTTGTGCTATTATTATCTTAATAATAATGTATATGTATTTTCTGCAAGATACTGTATTTTCACTATTTTTACACAATAGGTTAACTTTGACTACAATGAAAGAATCTGTATTAATCTGTGAGGAGTTAATGGTTTAATACCCATTGATGTACACACAAAATGATCTTCAAGCCCCGTCTAAATCACTCTCTGGACATGGCCAAAACTGCAAGCTGGGTGCAACCAAAACGAAAAAGACTAAACCGTACATTTCTGCCACAACTGCAGGCAGGTTGCTGCAGCTGGAATGGTCTAAAAATGGACTGACAGAGTCCTCCTACCGTCGCAGGGATGTCACAGCTGTAGGCCCAGTCCTGGGGGGCACAGGAGGAGGTGGGGAGCCCACAGCCATGTCAGGAAGCTGAGTGAACCTGAAGGCCTGCACAAGGGGAATAAGTACACCACAAAATGCCTCGTATGTCTTGTTTAAACTTAAATATACAGCTCTTCATGAGTGAAAGAAACGGGGGCGGGTGAGGAACTTACAGGTCTTGGCAGACTGTACTGGTACATGTCTGAGCCATAGGCAGGCACCCACTGGACACCACTGGGCCTGTTCATGGTTCCAGGAGCACTGGTCACCACATCAGAGTACGGGATCTGCTGCCCGGGATTGTAATGTCCCTGGTGCCGGCTGTTCGTCACATGGCCAGCAGAGACCAGGCTGAATGCCTCCTCTAGCAGCAAGTGCATTTGCTGGCGCACTTCGTCAATGGAAGGCTGGGAACTGAGGGTGGAAGTCTCTGAGTGACCTTTGACCTGTCGACCTCGGGTGTAGCTTCTGGGCCCAGCAATGCGGTCCACGTTGGTCTCTTCAATCAGCTCTGGTTCGGTCTAACAGACAGACAAAAAGAGGTTTACTAGCAAACATTCAGTCAAATGCATGAATTGGGCTTAACCCTGGTAAGAAAGATAAGAATACGAAATACGAAAATACGAAAACAATCTTTTCTGTAGTAAGATTATGACCCACAGCAGGCTGTGGAAGTTAGCTGCACTACTTGTACATGTGCAATCATAATAAGTGAATGAAAGACCTGTAATAATGCTCACATCATTAATATTCAAGGGAATAAAATTGGTAAATGAGGACATTACTTGCTTCACCTCTTCTTGTTAAGATGCTATAGAGCAATTTTCTCTGATGTGATGTGAAATGTGATTCAACTGAATGCAACTGATTTTCATGGTTTTATAGAGAGGAAATGTCATTGGAAATATTCTGTACCTCATGCATTCCAGAACTGAATAAAATGCAAAGTTACTAAAGCTGAAAAATAGGGAGGACTGACATTTTAAAGAATTGTGTTTATAGCCTGCCCAAAGGCAGCTGATGTGACACGTGGAAGAATTTCCAGTGACCTACAATAATTCCCTATTGTTTTCTCGAACACCAACCTGGAAAACCCAAGCAACCTTTACAGCATAGGAACCAGCTCAATTAATCCTTCGAGTGAGCTCTGAGGCTCTTTGAGCTCCTTAAAAGCTCTGCTTTATCAAGCGTGATTCTAACGGAATGTTTAAAAGGAATGAATTAATAACCTTCAAAAACACTAGCAATTGCAGAAAAATAATGAAAAGCTATAGAAATTAATTGAGATTTGTGCCTCTCTTTCAAAGCTAAATAGGCAGAAGCCATTCATGCCCTACTTCCCAGTGTCTGTGCTAGCCTGGAGAGTAAGAGACTCACTGGAGACCTATTACAGCTGGCATCATAAATCAGTTCTCCTGCATAACATGGACACCAGGAATGGAAGATCTGCAGTCTTCCAATTCTATGCAATATTCTTTGGGTATTAAAATGGTCATAAAACAGGAAGTGTTTGTGCTTTTCATATCTATAAAAAGGAAGCTCCTATCTATGATTGTTTTGAGTGTAACTAAGTTATTCAGTTTGTACAGATAAGACTCTGCAGAATGGGCAAAGGTCTTGGCACTCAAGAATCTAGCGATAATGGAGAAAAAGACATGGAGACACAAAGGAATATGGTATTTGTGAGTTAAAATATACTGTATGTGCAATGTATACTTCATTTTCACTCCTTGCCCACTGACAACTGGTAACACTATCAACATGTCAGGAAAATACTGTATGAAACACAGTTTATTGAATGCAAACACAAAACCAAAAGGACTCAATGATAAAAATATACCGTAACAGTCATTTGGTCAATCTACCCAGCTCTTCAGTAGCCAATTGATCTAAATACCCCCTCCACCTGCTTCTTGAAAGAACAAAGCAGTCAATTTTTACTGTCAGTCTATAGCAGAAGGATCTTTCACTTTACCAATTCCAGATGCATACTGAAACAACTTTCGGTAGAAAGTCCTCATTATGGCCATTTACTGTAGGTTCAAAAGCCCGGTACGTGACAGGTCACACTTTGCGGTTTACAAGCTCAAGCACTAGTACAAATGGTCTGGCACATAGGAATACACAGAACTTTTCAGCATTCAGTCTCTAAAACAATGGGAGAGGTCAAAGGCAAAGGAACCTCTCAAATTGGACCCACAGACAAAAGTTAATTAAATTATCGATATTAATAACAATGGGATTGAGAGCATGAGAGTCCCAGCACATACGTCATATCCACTGTTCCGAATCCCTCTTCTGGGCCTCTCTCTCGTCACGAGAAGGTCCATCTCAGTCCCTCCCGGACTGGGGCTGTTCAGCGACTGCCTGCTCCTGTATGGGTTCTTCATTTGTGATTGTCTGAAACCAGGGCACAATGAACAAAACTATCACACCTCAATAAAAACCAGTATTACTCTTTTCTGGGAGAATAGAGTGTATATTAAAATTCCGTGAATACAGCCTATGCACATGACAGTAATGTACATTCTTTTTTTAACGTTGACTGTAAGGATGTTTCAATTAAATGGATAGAAAATCCCTAACATATAAAACTATGATTATCCCTCATTATTAATTAAGATTCCAAATGTATTAACACTTTAACCATGTGTGTCTACTGCACACAGAAATGCTAAATTTCTACAATATTGACCTCAAACAAGTACTGTTATACTCATTTAGTCCTGAGCGGACTCAAACCTTAAATCCTGCACTTCAAATGGTGAAAAGTAACTTTAATGTGAGTTATTCTGTATGTACAACTGATGAGTTGATGAAACAGTAAAACATGAATGGCTTAGTTAACTATAGGTACCACAAATGTTTTAGAGTTTAAATGAAGGCCTTTTTCACTGAAAAGCAAGGTAACATGCCTTACTGTAATTGTATTTCCACTGTATTTGTGTCACCCCGGCCAGAACCTGACATTTAACCATCTCTTAAATGTTACAACTCCCCTCCCAGGTTTTCCAGTTTGACTCTTTTATAAATGGAAAGAATGTCTGAAAACACTTCCTCAGGAGAAACAGACGACAACACCAGTGAAAATGTTACACCATTTCCATGACCTCAAACTACATTAGCATAATATTCGGGTTAAGATATGAGAGCCACGGGCCATTAATCTTACTAAGCAGTACAGATCATGGTGTAGGCTGCTACAATTTGAAACGGATTACAAAATTACACCTCCCCTTTCTCCAATGCAATGTCTTTAAAGACAAATTCAAAGAAATGTAATGGGGAGAAGCAAAGTGCGGCCACAGTACTGTAAAGCAGAAAACGATCTGATATATTGGCAGGAAAGATTAGTTCATAGGCCAGTCAGATTTGCTATCATGATGATTTTCAAAACATTTTTCCCAACATGGAGAGTTTGGAATGAAAACCTGCAGGCACAGAGGCCCTGTTCTAACATAACCTTATTCCTAGGCAGAAAAATCAATTGATTATACACTAGGACACTACAACCTGAAAAACTCTTCCAACATGCTCCAGAATGCTCTGTAGTCCAGATTTGAGTCCAATTAATCAAATTCTTTGCTCACTCTTTTAAATTTACAAAGAAATGCTTCTTCAACGGAAAGCTGAAAAGGCACAAGTGACTTTAAAACATTCTTCTCAATGTACACTTGTCCCATCATTTGCCCTTTCTTACCTGTTCCTTGATTTAACGTATGTGGAGGCTATTTCTTCATCAGGGTTTAAGACTTTGTTGAGTTCTATTTGTGCTTTTTCATACTCCTGCTTCTGCCTGTGAGTAAGGGGCTTGCTGTTGCCTTCTATTACAGGGAAGTCATAGTATCCCTTCCGCTTAGCCTTGAGACGCAATTTGTTCCTGTAGTGCTCAATGTCAGATTTCTGCTTTAAAGCCATGCTAACCTGTGCAGGGAAAACATTTCTTTAAACATCATTACCATTCAGCAACCATCAAGGGTGAAGTCTTCCAAACACCAGACACAGGTTTCTTCAGACAAGGAATGCAGATACAGTAAATGAACGGTTGAAAAATACTTTTTCAAATCACATACAGATGTTTGCTTTCAGTACAAGTTGTTTTTTTATAGAATGTAAGAATTCTACTTTAAATTACGTATACACTTTAACTTAACCACACCTACACTGCAATAAGACAGCTGACGTACTGTACTGTATTAAGTTGCATTATTTCAAATAATAATAACATTTCATACACGTTTTTAAAACACTTTATCTGATTATACTTTCATCCCAAGTTAAGAACGATAAGAAAAAAAGAGACTAGATAAAGGTACTGTAAGTACAGTATCAATTCAGTTGCTAGTGTTATGAAATGGCTTTCAGCATTAGGCGCTGTTTTTCCTAGAGTTTAGGCGAGGGCTGGCTTACCTCTCCATTGATCACTGCGGAGTCCTGGCTCCTATCAGAGGCAGGGTGAGAGTAGCTCGGAGGTGCAGCCAAGGGTTTGATGGAGATGAGCTGCAGTGATCCAGAGGATGTGTCAAAGGGATCTGCCGAAGACCTGGACACTCGGTCAAAGAGAACTCCACCCTCCTCTTCATCACTAATTGGTGCTGAAGAGTATTACTTTTGTTCAATCAAAGACAGCCAAATCAAAACGATCGATCATGCAGCAGCACTTACAACTTGTATCTGAACAGAAAAGAACAGCAACCTTCAGAAGGTACAGTAATTAATCCTTTTTAGTTTTGTCATCCCCTTTCTTGAAAGACCTGTAATATTACTTTTAACATGGAATATCTCCAGGTCTTACTAAGGTCCTGTTATTGTTGTTTGCTTTGTTATTCAAATGATCAGAAATATGTGTAAATGCAGGCATTGTGAAAAATAATCAACTATTATCAACAATAATAAACAATAAAATAATATATTCTTAAAGGAACTAAAGATAATATTTTTACATAGGAACCACATTTCAGAGAGATACTCCATTGAATGACAGCTGTTATTATAAAACTAAAAAGGATTAGACTTTGATCTAAGTTTGTTAAAGAAAAAGCAATAGCAGCAAAGCCATCACCAGAGTAATTTGCAAATACAGCTGTGCATAGCTATTCAGCTACGGCTTGATGTGAAGAAAACAATGGTCAACTAAAAGTGAATACAATTTCCCTGTGGATGTTTTCTAAAATCAAGCCTTGGCATTCCTTTTAATCAGCATATACCAAAGAAAAATTGTTGCAAGATTTACTGGTCCTAATTATCCATTAATTTATTTTCTGTATTGAGATCGTTGTATGCATTTGTTCACATTAAGATCCAATAGGGATCTGTACACAAACTTCAATGTACAATGGCTCCGTCAGGAGAGCTGTGTAAAATATGCTGTTGATTAGGTTTTGGAATAATGTATTTGCTAAAAACTCTTACCGATTCTATTTTTAAATTTTACACCTGAAAAACAAAAGTTCAGCAAGTTATCTAATATAGAGCATTTGATCAGATATGGCTTATCGAGTTCATAATCGGGAAACAGACCTTCAGTTGTAAATTTGACTGAATCACAAATTCATTTCTATGCATTTGTTTGCTTAAAATATATGACTGAATATGCAATTAGAAGGCATGGACTCTGCAGAAGCAATCAATATCAAGGGATTTTAAACTGACTCATGTTCAAAATATAGACATAAGCACCCAGTGTGAGTCCATATTAATTTGCATGTTGTGCCTAAAATTTTCCACCATGTGAAACATTTACAAAGCATGAAATTTCATTTCCCTGCCATCTGTTATGTTCATAAGCATGAATGTTTAATGAAAGCTGACCTTTCTCCTTGTATTAAGTGTGATACAAAAAACAGATAAAGCATACCATGTTTCTTTCTGCTGTCTTGGAGGTTTTTACAGGTTATGGTGACATACGGGATACAGTGCCAAAAGCAAGCTAGCACAATTTGTCAGGCCACAGTATTATCCTATGTTATAAATCACAAGATAACTGCTTAACAGATACAGTAGATGAATGCCTACAAAGAGATACAGTTAACTAGCAGTCCAAGTGCAGATATGAGCTATGAGTTAGGTTTGGTAGGATTGCACTCAAGCTATAATCTTGTGTTATTAAAGAGGGCGTGCTATAACAATGATTGAAGACAATATGCTGCACATTACTCTATCCCTGACATTTTTTTCAATGCAGATCTTTTTTAACTTCCTTCTTACCGTTCCTTTTTTTTGCCTCCTCTTTTGTCATTTTCTGCTGTGCTGTTACTTTCAGTACAGAGCCTCTACTGGAGTTGAGCTTTCCTGATTCGTTACTGATGAGAGAGCCATCTTCACTAGGCAGCCTGCTGCAAAGTAACCATAGCAACAAAAAGACTGTAAGTTCTTTTACATATTACCCACAGTTAATGGTTACCTCAATGACCTTCTAACACCCTAATGGATACCTGTACTAACAACGTTTGCTGGGGGAAAGCACCTTTAGCGCTTAGCAACATAAATCCTGAGGCACAGAACAATAGCCTTTCATACTTTATGAATACAGTACTCTGATTTTTCCTTATTTAATTAAATAATTTCCTTATTTAAGAAATTCACACTTTACCTTCTAAGATTATTGTTATTCACAGCAGTTATCCTTCAAATCTACAGAACTTCAGTTTACCTTTGCCAGGCAATATACCAGCAGCTGCTATGAGTCGTATTTCTTAACTTTAAGAAATACGACTCGTAAAGAAGAATGATTTGAACACCTACAAGCAGCACGAACATGAAATTGTTTAGAGTCCTGTTTGTGTATAGAGCAGTTTTTGTTATTATGGTTAAAGAACAAAACGGTAAATTATTGCGGTGCTTAGACAGTTTTATCTCTAATGCTAAATGATTAATTTCAGACAGCTAACACCAGAGATCAAATCACCAGAACCTAGTCATTTAAAATATTAACAGATTTTGATATGTGTGTCTGTTTCACTGGCAGTAGCTAAACAAGAATATGAATTGTAGCTATGAATATATGCATTGTTTGGCTCTTATAATCAGCACCTATATTTCAAAGATTATACACAAAGGTATACAATGAAATTCTCCACATTACCCACAAGTCCCAGTGGTATAAAACAATGTCACAACAACATACTGTATTTGTCCTTTTCCCACTGAAGGTGTTTTCAGCTTTTTACATGAAATAAAAAAGTAAAACCAACAACATGATCATGATCATGATCTGGACCTTTAATTGTGAACAAGTACTGTAGGTAAAACTGCAGTACTGAAAAAACAACAAGCTGCTTACTATTGTGGTACAGTAAATAAATATTTAATTTCTTTGACAGTTTTAAGGTTGGAATGTGATAACATAGCTGTTGGCCTAATCAGACATACCTTTTGTGGCAAACAAAATAACTGAATATTTTGCCATATATTAGTTTATACCCCCAATGTTTCATTTTTCATGTTTATCAGTTGTGTCTCAAAGGAAGCAATGATCTTCAAGACTGTATAATGCTGAGGTAGCTGTTTATTTCCACTGATATAGAGAGAATGTGTCTCACTCCAATGATCAATGCAAATTGCATTCTGGGCAAGAAAAAATAAGAAAGCAATTGGTACTTATTTTTATTAACAAATAACACCATTAGTCTAATGATAAAATAATTTCTATTTTAGATTGGTACATTAGTACCATTTAAGCTTTTATTCTAAAAATGCTGACAAACTGTAGACACCATAATTGAGCTATGAGAAACAACAGAAGCTACTCATCTATTACAATTCTTAAACAAATCTTTCCACAGAGAGTGAGGAAAAGTCTCAGAGGAAAGCCTGAGGTAGTTTTTTTGCTGTAATTTCTCACTCAGTTTTTGTTGGTTGATAATTCATAAACAACACTTAAAAATCAATGCCATCTGGTAACCAAACAACAGCCAATTAAATTCTGACTTAGCATTAGAAGAGGTTAATCAATCTACAGAAATACAGAAACTTATAAATGATATATACATTAATCCATCACTTATTCAAGCGAGTAATATCTGGACTTTGGGATTTAACCTGCAATACACATGGCCTAGAACATATGGCCTAGAACATATTTTGAAAGACACTTTCATGGTTGAATAAAATACAGAATCAATTCCATGGCCATCATACAAACTGTGCCATTATCATTCTCAATTGTATATCCCCCTTTTTTGTTAATTATGCTTAATGGTTTTAACTTACTATATGCACAGTTGAAACAGAATTTGGAGGTTTATTTCAGTTTTTCATGTTAATCCTCAGAAAAGCACAGCTGTCTCTTCCTGATATAGTAAATGAGGTGTTATGTACTGGATAATGTTTCCCTATAAACCTGTACAATGCAAATGAAGTTTTATCTATACATACAGAGGAGAATTTAATTAGGCATATTTTGTTCTGACATAACAACACATGGTATCTGTTTCAAAGAGATACAGGATTCTAACCCAGCCTAGAGGTCTGCAGACCTAAAAAAATTATCAAGCAGCCTAAAGTTAAAATACTCTGTGTTTACAACTTACTGTGCCTCTAAGTGTATTTTAATGCATAATTCATTTGACGAAAAAAGAGAAATGTCCTGATGCCCTGATTGAGGCTTGTATAAGCCAAATTGTTGAAAAATATTAATAAACCAATTACTTAGAAGTACATAAAGTGTGAATCCAGTCACTTTTGCTACGTTTACATAATTAATTTTTAAACTACTAAAACTTTTCTTTACTCTAAAACACACATTTCACATTTTCTAAAGAAACATATACTGTAACAGTAGTCCTTTAACAAGAAAAAACAAGTGAGGATGTTTAGTATTGTTATGCTAAACTATAGATGAGGACCAGATAAATAACTTTGTTGTATGTCTTGCGAAAACTAAAAAAGGAGTGAGACCCCTGATATCAAATGAGAAATGTCTTTATTATTGGGATTCCAAGTGTGCAGAAGGTGATCCTAAAATACCTTAAATTGGTCAAATTAGTTAAATTAGTAAAAAATAAAAATCAACACAATATTATATCCCAATTTTAGAATAGGCAACAGGATAAGTACTGAAATAAGTGTTAATGAAGGAGTATAAAAAGAAGAATAGAAAGTAAGAGAAAGGATGGAGGGGGGTGGATTAGAAAGGGTAAAAATAGTTGCAAAGTAGTACTTTTGAATTGCGAATTGATTTTTTCCAATTTGAGACACTGCAAAATATCCCAGACCCAGTTAATGGAGGACAGAGGAAAAGGTGGGGGGGAAGTTCCCAATTGGTAAGGATGGCTGAAGTAGTTGGGAAAACAATGCAATTCAGATGGCAATTCAGAGATGAGGACACCACCAGGTGCTCCTCCAAACTCTGTGCTTGATGGTTATTGCTCAAGCTTGAACTGAAAGATGTGCAGGAGAGCACGTTTTTACACCTGTCACAAGCGTCACCAATAAACCCCTGCAAAGACGTCAGGTGTTGAGGGACAAGTGAAGCAGAAACATATATCGTAAGATGTTTGTTCCCTGAAGCGGGGAAGACTCCTCACACACAACTGTGAGCCTTTTTGCCAACTGCTCTTACCTCTTCCGCATGTCACTGGACAGGGTCTTTTTCGTGGTGCTTCCATCGTGTGAGATCCCTCTTTCCTGGGACAGGGGTGCATCCCTGACTGGCAGAGGCAACACCACTGTTTCCTGGGTCACAGGAAGTGCTTCCTCTTCGCCACCTTGCTGCCCGAGATGTTGCTTTGCATAATCGAACCCCTGCACTGGCTGCAAAGAAAAATAAGGATTGAGGTTAACGTAATATTACCATCAAATATTGGTACCAAATCTAAAAGGTGATTTTCTGTTAAGAGGCGTATACTGTATCTTCCAACAGTAAATCAGCTAATAAATTTCTCTAGTTCCTCTTCATAGACATTAGCACGGAAAAAATGAAGACATCCACGTAGTGTTGTTGTAATAAGGAATCATGAATTAAAGCAAATCGAATGTGAACCAAATAAGTCAAAGGCCTTTAGGAAACTTCATTATGCCACACAAGCGTGTATAATTTACAAAATAACTATGAATGTTTCTTGTTCACTCCAGCATGTCAGAGAAACAAAAAAAGCCAAAAAAGTCATCACCTTCTTTGTGTTTTTAAAATTTCTTATATGCCACTAATGTGTTGTAAGAACTAGCAGTGGTGGATACACACATCTGTGCTGTACATGTTCTGCTGTTGTTCTCCAAGCCAAAGTCAAATGAAGCACTCTGCTAATTAAATCACAACAAAATTAAACTGAGCATAGTGAAGTATATCACTAAATAGATAATTGTTTTGATATGGTTAATTTAATTGCACATATATAACTTATGACAGAAGAATGTGGTTACAGTTTGCCTGCAAGAACAAAAACAGCTCTTAAATCTACAGTCAGTGCTTTTTTGAATACTGTGATTTCAAGATAATGTGAAAGAGTAAGATTTCTACAAATAAGATATGCTGGGTCACTATATAATATCACATTGGACTCCTAAGCAACATCCTCCTGTGAGTGAAATCCTGTCTAATGCTTATAAAACAAATACAGCAGAAAGGTGAGTATAATATGTCAGTAGAGGGGAGTAAACTGCAGTTTCTCAAGAGACTTCTGTATGTACATTCCATCATTCTCCAAAAATGCGTATTTGCAGTCATGCAGGGCAAAAAAAGATACCAGCATTTTTCCAATTCGGAATCACAAAAAAAAACATCACAGCTACAAATTGTTTTGTGACGTGTTTATTTCTACTGTCTTGAATAAGACTATTTAGAACACAAAAAATTCAATTCATATTCCTAAATATGATTCCGGGTTGCTAAAAAGCCAACTTGTGGAATGTAGTCTATAAAAGACATCAGTCCCTTTAAAGATAACTAGAAAAACAAGAATTTCCATGCATGTAAAATTGTACATGTCTTCAATGGATTTAAAAAAACTTTAAATTAAAAAAATACTTCTCAATAGCTTTTAATATTTGCATTCTAAAATTGTTTTCTTGCAGTTGCACGGGGGAATTATATCATTATACAGTTATTGAAACAATACTGAATTACATATTTACATGAACAAATTGTAATGCAAAAAACAGTTCTGTCTCTGTCTTCCACAGCCTGTAAAATTAGACTTGAACTCAAAGGACAAATTAAGGCATGATATAGATATTTTGAAAACCTATTATGAATACTGCTGCCCTAGCTAAATCACATTAAAAATTGAAATGCTATTTTTAAACACACTGGATACTACTGCTTTGCATTTTTAAACAGGAAAAATATTTTTTTCCTTCCATGTTTTGACTGTAGTAGACCACAAAGTCCTTAATTACCAGCACAAGTCAGCTCAGTATTCTGTTCCTGTATTCTGGAAGGGTGATATTCTACCAGACAGCTCTTGCTACACAAAAATAAAGACGCTGCATCAACAATGAGAAAACAAACTGACCTGCTCATCCACTATGAATTGTACACCAAGGATACTGCACAGCTGGGAATTCTAGCACTATGACCCAGAAGGGGGATCATAATAAAATAAAAGGATACAGACATATTCTGGATATAGTGAAATTTTTCTTAGATCTAATCACGCTAATGTCTGATATATAAAAATAATTTTCACCGGACTACCAAAAAAGCTATTATTTTTGGTTGTTGTATATAAATAAGATTATAAATGTACAGTATATATAATTATACCATAATAACTGATCTTTCACCTCTGTACTGTCTGTCCCTACTTCACAGATAATGAAATGCCGTAAATGGGATAATTTCACCTCCCTTGTGGCCTCTACAGCAATGCAGCTGCTTGTCTGCTTGTTACTCTCCCTTATAGCAATAACATACAGGAGACAAGGCCTTCACCTTGTGTAAATTCTGTAAACTGCCCTTTTATTTCATTTTCATGACAATGTATTTCTATGTTCATATTCTAAAAGCCTTCACAATACAGGGTGTAGTTTGATGTTTTTCTCTTTATATAAAAAATCATCAATGACAAAAGATGGGGACACCTTTATGAATGCCTAGGAGACTACTTCTTGAAACTGTGTCAGCACATCTATTCCTTACATTAACACATAAGTGCTGTACTTGGAGATAATACAGATGGCCAAAGGACACACTCAATTCAAGACATAAAATATAATGTTTTTCTGGAGCATTGGCAATAACAATTACATATACATTCTCTCTACAAGGCACTGTATACATTAGATATATTTTCCTTAAGTCTGCTAACCTAATTTTCTTCACAGTGTGAAACAAATCTGACCTCATTTTTACGGTTTTATACTATGTGCAGTGCAAGGCTACACAAACATGAGGAATTTCCATTTAATGAGGAAACACAGAAATATAAAGACTATTTGGTACTCTTTTTCAAACCAAACCTTTAGAATGCCACTACAATAATGTGTTAATTGTACTGCTGTCCACTCATTTTTTGATATGCATATGATAAACTTCCATTAGCTAAAGAATTATATAATAAATTGCAAATTTTCTTTGGTAGATTTAATAGCTTCATATCTTACTTTGATCCAAATCAAAAGATCTACATTGGAAGCTTTATGGAATTTCTAATAATAAACGTTTGAATATGTATAGTATTCTACAGGCTAAAATGTTGCCCTATATATTCAGAGATTCATTTAGTGCCAAATATTGTTGAGAGCATAGAGGTTTGAAACAGAGCAAAGAAACACTATTAAGACTATTTATACATCTTCACTCAGAACTAAAAACTACAAAATTATATTGATTTCACTTATTGGTGATACAGTATATTCACAGATTTTTTTAACCAATTGAATGAACTGACTTAAGGTTTACCGTAGCTGAGCAAAGTATTATCATCATTTCCTAAATACACATCCATCAGCTCATCTCAATACACCCTAAACAGCTGTCTACGTGAGAGAACAATCACCTGCTTCCATCTTTTTTAATCTGCCTTATCGTACTTGAACATGACTTAAATTTGCAAGCAATTTAAAGGTTGTGCAATTGTCATTTCACTAGAAATCCCATACTATCGAATTAGAATTTAGCAGTTCTTTACAGATTTTGCAAATGGAGTTCTGTTCAAAGCAGGCAAGCTTACCTTGGCACGTGGGTGCATGTTCCCCATCGTATCGGCCTTGAAATCGTTCTTGTTCTTTCTGCAGAGGACAGCGGTGATGATGATGATGATGATGGTGACTACTGCAATAGGAGCAAGGACCGCAGCTATGATCCACAAGTTGTTTGGTGGGTTCTTTACCACAGCTGGTGAAACACAAAGTCACAGGTCAATTCAAGTGTGACTCCTTCCACAGCTCACAGGAATTAGGGTCCTTTTAGAAAAGACACTTGATAACAAAACTCACAGTGAGCATCACAGTTCATAATATATCAGGTGTTATTTTTTGGGTGCTATCTGGATAGGTTTGTTGGGAGAACTATTTTGTTGTTTCCAGTGTTTGTGGAAAGACATGATGCAATCACTCATCCATTTCACAGGAAAAGGTGAATTCATCACAACGGCCACAGAATTGATCAAATAAAAGCGTACCTGCAGTGCAGAAGGGGTGGTGAATTTAAGGTTACTTTAAACTATTTTGTTCTCATAGATATTAAGCAGAAGTATTGCAAATGTCGGGATACACATTACACTGTTTTCACTTCTGCTTTCCAGGCATTTTCAAAAAGATGCAATATTTTATGTTTGACTACAACTTTAATACCATCAGGAGCTCGGTAATGCTCTGACTAACCAGTGCTGTTTGCAAGAGCTTTGGAAGCCCATTCTGAAAACTCTAAATCAGTCCTCTCCTGTGGAGAGTGTCCTGTCTACACAGCAGGTGAAATGGTTTTACCTTTCCTGTCTCTAAGAGGATCTATGTTAACACTGCTCCTTTGCCCTGTGTTTAGAAAAACAGAGGCATGTTCATGTTGCTAGGAGACAATGTCAAATTCACTTGAACCTGCAATGCATGTTCTGTGGTTTGTTAACAGCAAACAACAGCGATGTCTTTTCACCCCCTCATTGGCAACAAGCATTATTTTAAACTTCAAGGAGTTTCATTTTCAAAGCATTGTCAGGAGAATAAAAATATCAATGACAAACAAAACAAAGCAAGAAAATAAGAGCATTTTCCAAAAGCTGCATGCACAAGTTTTTGTGAAAGTGATCTACAACTATTTATGGTATTTCATATCATCTTCTTGATATTCTTGCCCTCTTTTCTGAACTGATTCTGTAATAAAATGCCATCTTCTCCAACAGGGTTTTAATATTTACAGATGCAAATTTCATACGTTCAGCCTGGAGCTGCACGAAGTAACCCAGAGTTAACGCCATGGTCTGGGAGTCCACTGTATTCAGAATTTTGGCGGCTGAGGTTCCAAGCAAAGGGGAGCCATTCCACAGAACATAGTAGATCAACTCAGCTGGGTTCTTTGGACCTGGGATTCGCTTTATGTTGACCATCTAGACAAAATAAAGCAGGAATTTGTCAGTTAAATTCATTCAGGTATTATAGAGTGTTAGATTCTTTTGTAAAATCCAGTCACTTTTAGTTAAAAATAAAGAATAATTTAAACTTACTTCATATATGAATCCTCCAAATTAAAAAAAAGGGTGTTGTGCAAGGGAGGTAAAACTCCTAATACAACATAGCTTGAATCATTGTGGTGTGTATGCTGTAAAGGCAGTTAAAGGCATGGTATTTAAACTTCTATCTACTACATACTGAAATAGAAAATGGAATCCCACTTTTATTGGTTTCAAAAATATCTAGAGTATAATCTTGAAAGCAGGATCAACAAGCTTTTTCTTCAAAGAATCATGTGAGCAGCCATAATCTGGGCTTCTATGGAAGCAAGCTTCTTTGAGAATCTCTGAGGTAACAGGAGTTAACTTAAAGAAACACCGCTAACTTAAAGAAAATACTTCATTTTACTCCCAACTTGATTATAATCCTTCCGATCACATATTATCTGCAATCTCATCTGCAATTCTGTGCTGTACTCCATTTGGACATCATGCGAAGCTGCTCAGATCACTGTCCATGATGTACTGGTCACCTGGACAGTGTAGCTCCCCACAGTAGTGGCTCTCCTGAATCTCCTTCCCTGCTGCCCAGCGATCACGAACAGCTCTGCCAAGCGCTGCTCCATTAGACTGGCAAAGCTCTGATAATTCCCCTCCAGAGAGGAGTTGTCAACATCCTGAATGACTGGAAATCAGAGAGAGAGGAGGAGGCTGGTGGAACCACAAAACTCTTGGGAAAAAAACTCACTAATAAAAACATTTATCTGGCTTTGAATATATTTTAAAGGGGATCCTGAGCTACTGTTGAGCCAGTGATTAGCTGTCATTCCTTAAAACAATCATGCTTCGTCCTTAGTCATTTTAGTTGAAATCTGGTTGTTTTACTACAACTAGGTAATACATATAGTGATTAGATTATGATGTCCTGAACAATACAAATTTAAATCTAATTCGCCAATTTAGTGATTTGATCACAGTAATAAGCAACAGGAAATTAATCTTAAGGTGCTCCAGTCAGCTAAAACTGAAAAGTAAATAGCCAGCAGAAGATAACATTTTTGCTCCACACATGTTATCACAAGCTTCTCTGCACAAAGTAGTCTACATAAAAAAAGAAATGAATGTTCACTACAAATCCAAAATCCAAATTACCTGTTATCACCCAGTAGTCCCTTGTCGACTGGGAAGTATTGAGATTGTGGTACTCTAATGCTGAAAAAGTAAAGCAAGAATAAACCATTCAAAGCATTTTTTAATTATGCATTTATATGTAATTGGCAAAGAACCCTTTGGTGGCTTTGTCTTCACATTGATGTACTAGGTTAATAAATCTCTGCAGCATTAGGTATGGGTAATAATTCCTCTTAATTCCATCATATCAGTACATTGTTTGCATTCAAAAGTTGGATTTTGTGTTTTAAAATCAGGGTATAATTAAATGCAAATTACCTTTTAAAAAAAGATTCATTAAAACATTAACATAAACCGATGATTCATTTTTACAATTCTATGGAAATAAAGCTACTTAGAAACTACCCAAATAGTTTCTTTCTGTTTGTTGTTTTTGTTCTGTTTTAAATAAAGAGGAAAAAAAGGTAATTTTTTGGTTATTGTTTATTATTATAACTATTTTTACAAATTGTACTATAAGAAGAATTTCTACTTTACACGTTAGGCACATGGATGATTTTGTGACTTTAGTAATAGAAGAGTAATAGAGAGTTTCATGGACTCCTTTTTCAGTGTCATGCGTACAAATACTGTATGTCTTGTACTTGTCTTGTACTCTTACAGCACTGATAACATCTAAATTAAGATCAAAATCAAGTTAAAGAACAAATTACAAAAGATCACAGCATTTCCTGAAATTCTCTGCAATGTTATTAATTATTAATCTTACTTTTGTTTAAGATTTCTTGGCTTCCAAACCTAAGGCTTCAGGCCAACTGGGCACTGAAAACTCTTAATTATTTACCAGCATAATTGATTTTCATAAGCATACCGACAGCTTTCATAAAAATACTCTCATCTTTCACAGCCCATTTCTTTGTTCGATAACTATGGTCCTAACAATTGTTGCTGCTGAACAGATGCCCTTGTCCAGGGTTACTATTAATGTTTACTCAACAAATGTTTACTCTGCTCTACAAAGTACTTTTTCCTGAACAGAGCCGTGCCTTATTAATCACAATTCTTCTGACAATGTTGAGGACTCGGTGAGGCACTCACTGACTTCCAACTAAAAGAAATTTCATCAGCTAAACTAATGGTCGAGGTGAATTTTACTCCAAATTATTCCAGTAAATTCAGCTGTTTAACCTCATTGCCACTGTGAAATGTATGTATTTTAGTCCTCATTTTACATACATAGAGCAACACAAAACTGTAAAAGGATCATTTTAATAAACGTACATTATTCTTCCAAAAAGAGAGTTATATCAAGTTCAGAATGCTCACAAAGAAAATCATATTTTATTAAATTGGCTACTGCAGTAAACTGGTTAATCCTAGACACTTTTGGCAGAGTGATGTAAGAAGTGCACTAATGAAATTCATATTGCTGAAATATTTTATTTATACCAGAACGCTTGAATGCAAGACCACAACTCAAAGACTTGTCCTTCTGTGGTACTTTATACGAATCCACATTGCCCCCACTGGATTCAACACATAAACTGTAACACTCTTTCAAACACAGCAGTCACTAGTAGTTCACCCCAAACCACAGCACACAAAACTATGCATCATGAACAGCAAACACAGCAGTCTGAATGGGACACTTACGTTCAGCGATAATCAGAGGTGGGAAGAACAGGTAATACCCCACCAGTTCTGCAGTGAGCTGATTGAGAAGGTTGCTGGAAATGGTTCCGTTCAAAACCACACTCTGGTTCCTTACCACATAGATCAGAGAGACAGCAGGAGATCCAGCTGACTGAGTTGTGCTTAAGATCTAATCAACAATGACAGACACAAATGGCTGTTTCAATTCAGAGTCTCTGTTTAAGCCACTTTTTAAAAAACCTCATAAGGAAAATTACGGTAGTAATGACTCTTATTATACCCATAAGATTGCTAATGGAAAATAAGGTGGAAGCTTAAATGTTAATGCTTAATCATTTTGTTAGCATAAACGGCAGGAGTCCAAACCAGGTGATTTTAAAGGTCCATTGAGTACACTGATGCTTATTTCCCAAGAAATAGACTGATGTTCAACCACATCAGGATTCATTTTTACTGTGCTGTAACCCCTTAGGAGAAAATCGGAGCATTATTTCTGTGAGATAGCAGGCCAGCCTATGGGTGCAGGCAATTCACTACTGTTCTACAAAGTGCTGTGTGGCTTTGGGGCTGGAATTATGCCTGAGATATAGTGAATGAATCCCAGCTCAGAAAAAGGTCAGCACTCAACACATTGCACATAAACGAGGGGCAGGATACCCACAGCTTCCAAATAGGACCAAAAGTGGTTCAATGACAAAAATCTAAAAACTGTACAGACAGCAACAGTGTCACACTCTGCGATGGCTCATGAATAAGGTCCACATTCAATGCAGATATCTAGCTACGGAAACACGGAAAAAGAAGATTTTAAAAGCTCTGCAAACGATCAACTTGGAGAAAGCAAATGACTGCACCTGAACAGAGAGGTGGCTGTGAGAATTCAACACTTTGGACTCGGCTTCTGCGAACGCATTCTGCAATCGCTGCTCCATAGTCTGAACGAAACTGCAGGAATTTATATTGTCTGTGGGGCCTACGAACCTGAGGACTGGATCAGAAAAAATAACAGGTTAGACATGATCATATTTATTAATGTAAAATATGTCTGGGTTCATTGTTATTTACCTTCATTGTTTTCCTATATCCAGTCAGCAAAAAAGAATAAATGGCACTTCAAGTGAAATTCTCTGCTGTGTATTTAGTACCTCAGTTAACTTATTATTGAACCATTAAGTGTCTAATGATCTTTAAGCAAGGCAATTACTGGGTATGCAAACACTTGATAATAAGCCTGACTGATGATTTGACTGGGATTCCCTGTTTATTTCCTGTTGGGACTGTCTTGTCCTTACCTGTTTTGAGCTGCAAAGAAATAGCAGGGCTGGGAATCCAGGGAGCAGCAGGAATGGGAATGGACTGGACCTCAGCCACGTACTGCTTAATATCAGTCATCATCCTGTCGATCCCATAAGCATTCAGAGCACTGACAACAACAGATGCAATGTAGACAGTGCTGCCACTTGCAGCGTAGTAACCAACAGTGACATTCGTACTGCTGGTCAGGTTTTCAATCTGAAAGCACAAGACAGAGCTTTGTGGACTTGTGACTGCTCAGTACTGCAGAGAGCAACATCATTTCAGAATCATATCAGATCAGAAGCTCCTTTATAAAAAGACTTCATTAATGAAACAGTCGTCTTTACATTTTTAGGATGCACATGTGCTATATTAATGGTTCATATGTCTCGTGTCTTCAGAGGTATTTGCAAATGGTGCATCTTTATTTTAAACAACCAGGTTTGAAGGGCTGCTTAAACATGTGTATGCATGTTCCACTACTCATTCTTTTTATTTTCACTACTATATTATATGTAAAACACGGTTATTGTTATTGCATAGAAAACAGAAAAGGGGCTTTTCTACATTTATCTGTTCCATAACATACAATTAATTTTGTATATCTATCATATCATTACTAGTGCTTTTTGTATTTGCTGAACTGTCAGTCAGTTACCTCTGGGCACGGACGTTATACTTGGGGTCTGATGGACAGCGTTTTTTGGCTCCAGATTCACTGTCTGACAGCAGGAAATTAATGAAAGGCAGCCAAGAGCCATTTCAAACACAGAGGAATCTGATGAAGATGAGCATTACAAACTGATACATCAGATGCACACCTTGGGGCTGTTAATCTCTTACATTTCTTTTAATTTTGGAAGTTGCAAGGAGAACGAAGCATTCTTGCTCTGAATGCCCCCAGTTAGGTCGCTGGGGTATTTGCAAATCTCAAAGCTGTGACAAGCTCAAAAAGTTCTATAATTACATTTGTCAGAGATACTTAGATGTAAAATACATCTTATTGTTTTCCTATAATTAATAGAAACATAGGCAAATATTATGTACATATTTATAATATTATAATGTAAATATTGTCAATATTATATATTTGTAATATTATAAAATAGACAATTACAAACGGAACTAAAAGAAAAAAACTATCAAATACTATCCTGCTGCTAAACTATCTTAGAAACAAGCACACTTTAAGATGAACAATAGTAATTCCAATCCAGGATAAAAGATAGTTCGGACACAAAGACCTCAAAAACAAAGGGATTTTTGCAAAACAACCAAGTTCACTTACTTGGACTAACTGGAAATAAAGGTTAAGACAACAACTTATTGAAAGCACTGCAGTAACAGTTTGTTCCATTTCAGACATGCTTAATATAAAAACAAGAATTCATGTTGTGGAAGATGCTTCCTCTGAACTGCATTGTGCCTGGGTGATAAGGATATCCCTGATTACAAATTAACAGTGCTAGAGAAAAGCACTGCAATACAGGATCATCCCGTATCTGCAAAATGCTTTTTTTACTTTGTGGGAGAGGGAAAGGTAACTAATAAAAGGAAAAGAAGATTTCATTATGTATAGTTTCACTTAAGGAAGCCCATATCCTGCAATATGGAACATTTATACTATGCCCACAATCTGCAGACTTTCCTTTTAGTGTGGTCTGAAAAGCCAATTTCAGTCAATTGTGTCAATTAACCATTCATGAAGGAAGAACATCTATTAACAGAAATCAGTGTTATACTAGAACATGTGATATTCAACAGCCTTGGTCATAAAAAAAATTAAAATATGGAAAGACAAAAATAAAACTATGCATGAAAGTTCCAAACACTTGTAGTAACTAAAATCTTAAACTTATTTTTGTGCATTAACTAAATAATTTTGGTTAATATTACATTGGTAACATTCTGAAATAGTTTCTAACAATTAAGCATTCACTTCTGGTTAGGAAACTGTAAGAGGAGCTTGCATAATGATAAGTATCTACATTTTCAGTTCTGTTTCCAGTGAATGCAGTATTGAGAGTTTGTATTTCATTTCACCTTCAAGTGAAATGGCAGCTGCCTAATTTGAAATGATACATTCATTCATCCTTCATTTATGAATTCTCAGCATTCATTCACTTGAAAAAGTGAAACTTACAGATATTAAATATGACAAATGTATCACCTTACCTATTGAAATGTACTTTTATTTCCAAATGTGCTTATGCCTGTCAATTAATGGTTTCTAAGATTTCCTAAATAAGACAGTACTTTACCAAGGGTTGAAGGTAAGACCATCATAATCTAATATTTAAACTACTAATGAGAGGCGAAGGTACACCTTGCAGGATGTGCAAGAAATTTAAACAGCAGCTTGGTTTTTTACGGCTCTCTTAACCTCCAGATCAATAGGGTAAGCTCCAGGACATTTATTATTAATTGTTGGAAAACTTCCAAGATTAAATGCTCCTTGCATTCAGAAAATTGAACTCATTGAAAATCCTTGACAGTACCCAGACCCACAGAAGGAACAACTCAAAAAGGAGTAACACTGGAGTAACATGTGATAGCAGTAAATGTCCTGAAAAGACCACCAGAATTATGTCAATGGATAGTCTGCTTTTGGTTTTTAAGTTACATTGTTTAATTTGTTTTCAATGAGCAATTGACCTACCCCTTCCTGTCATATGTTCCTACTTGGACCCTCCACTTGAATCCACTTGGTTCTGAACCTTTCTACTCTCTCAGGGAGTAATGAATCCTGGGCACTAAACATCCAACACACCATACAAGTCTCCCTCAGAGGCATCCACACTATACTGTCTATACAGTCTCCAACTATCAGAACCTCCATTTTACTACTCCTAATATTAAATCAACACATGATTAATAAAACATATATCCAAGGGTGTAATATGACCAAAGGCTATAACACAAGGACATATTATACTTTTTTGAAACTGTTAAGCATGTATTTGCATCGTATACTGATATCTTATCTAAAGTACCAGAGACACACGGATCAACGTCAAAATAAAAAAAAAAGATGTCCCTCCCACCTTCCTGGGGGAGATCATAAGTTTTTTTATTTCGGCCATGGGCAGGGGGGGTAAAGCATTTCACTATAGTTCACATACTTCCAAACATTAACCTGGTCATTTCAAACAATACTGGCTCCTGCAACATAACAGGTGACACCCCTATGCACACATGGTTTTTGTGTAGCTGTTTTGAAGCAGCATGCCCCTTGCAGCCCCTATCATGCAGCAGAAGGTTGCTAACCTGAGCGTGCACACCACTGCTGTTGAAGGCCTCCTGAAGTGCCTGTGTGAGTCCTTTTGTCAGGTTCTGTTTAAGCATACCATCCACTTTGTATCTTCTTATGTTTAAGGACAACACTGTAAGAAGAAAGACACTAACAGCAACAAATGGAGTATCTCTTTCATCGGAGAAAACATAAAAGCAGACCTAAGAAACCCTGAAAATAACTAAGATTACATAGTTGTTCAAACTTCCAAGATCTCAATTTCAAATTGTAAAAACTTTATTAATATGTTTTTATAAAAAAGGCATACCACAGAATATTAATTCTATATTTTATAAGGTATAGACGAATAGCTTGCACTCAATATACTGACAATTACATTTTAGGCTTTGGTATTTAATGTTCCTAATTAAATACTGAACCATTTTTCTTATAATCAATGGATCGCTGTTTTTCTATTAATTATGTTAAATAGGGAATTAAAGTAATAAGCAATATGTGATGTTCTGTTCACTGCCTGATTTATTTTCAAGCAGATGATAAACAAATCATTGCGAGTTATTCAGATATTCTTTTTGAGCAAATCAATAAATTATTTTAGGCAATACAGGATACTTACCTGTGCCTTTAGTGATGGTTTTTCATGGTATGCAACAAATGTAAAAATCTAGCTTAATGTGAGACAACAAAAGCAATTCCATACCTGTTTTCACCCAGATTCTCTCTGTAGTGTTACACTGCAATGTAGGCATTCCTGTAGGGGTAGTGGCAGGACCAGGTCTATTTGGCCCAGACGTAGTAAACGTTGACGTCTGAGAGGTGATGGTAACCTTGGACGTCAAGGGTGACGTTATTGTTATGGACGGAGAAGAGGAGGTTTTCATGATCTCTGCAGTGACAGATGTTCCCCTTGAAGTCACTGACGGCTGAGGGGTGCTAAGTGGAGTGGATGATGTTATTGGTTGTGTTGTGCTGACTGCACCAGTGCTGGAGGCCACAGTGCTCATGGGAGTGTGCGTAGGAGTCCCACTTATAACTGTTTCTTGTGTTGTGCGAGTGAGGCTCGTGGGCGCCACCTGTGTAGACGTGGTCTCAACAACGTGGAGTGTGGCGTTACTGATTGCAATGGGGGCTGTCGATGCTGCTGGAGGCACGCTGGTACTCTCAAGGGGCAGTTCTCCACCCCTCTCCGTTGAAAAGAATGTGGACAGTGGTGCCGAAGACAAATTGTCAGCTGTTATTTCCTCTGTAACAGAAGAATGAGTAAAATTTGCAGTTGGAACAACAGCAGGTGTTAGGGAAGTCGGTGATGAATGGGGAGATGTTATGGGTCTAGACAATGGAGGTTCAGTGGTATAGGTGAGTAATGAAGGCACTTCAGTTGAAGTGGCTGATGATGACAGAAGATTGGTGGTTCTTTCAGACACTTCCGTAATTACTGATGTTGGAGTATTCAGTTCTGTATTTAGAAATGTTCTTGAGCTAGAAGAATACTGAGCAGATGAGGTTGTGGAGTGCTCCAGTGACACAGGCAGTGATTCCAATAAAACAGTTGTGAGGCTGATGTTATTACTTGCTGAAGAATAATCGCTGACAGTCTGCTCAGAAACGGTAGTTTTTTCATTTCCTCTTGAAGTTACTGAATCTGATGAGGGCAATGATATGGCTGTACTTGTGAAAGCAGAGGGCAAACTTCCAGAATTCAGTGTTGCAGGTTCAGTTGATAAAGTGAATGATGGAACACTTGACACAGGCTTGCTTCGAGAAGAAGAGCTTTGGGTAAGAATTGGAGACTTTGTGAATGGCGACATGCTGGCTATTGACATTGCTTCTGTAAATTCAGTCATACTACTGTTAGTTGAAGAAACAGCAGAAATTAGTTCTCTTTGAGATATACTGGCAGAACTCAAGGTGTTAGAAACAGATGTTTCCATAGACTGTGTAGAAACCTCAGCAGAGTCTTCAGACTGGGTGGTAGCTTCCTCAAAGGTTGTACTGATAGACAGTGTTATGTCAGCTGAGCTTGGAAACGCTGTAGTGGCTGATGTAGAGGATGCATTAGTGGAATCTATATATCTTTCTGTTGTGGGTGTGCTCATTGAAGACTCCATTTGTGAGGTGAGCTCTGAAGAACTTGTTGCCTTCTCAGTTTTCTGAGATTCGAATGAACTGTACTCTGTATTTCCAGGCACTGTAGATTTCCAAATAAGGTAGGCACTTGTCAAAGATGCTAATTCATTAGTTGTCGTTGTCTTATCTGTAGCTGCTGAGGATGAAGATCCACTGCTGGATACTTTGGAATACACAACAGTGTTTGCCTCACTAGTGGCCATTTTGGTGGCAATGCTAGGAGAAGTATCATCTGACATGGACACTGAAGTGGAAGATGCTAAATGATCTATCATTTTTGCTGTTTCTTGAGAATTATAAGCGGTAATGTTTTTGATATTACTACCAAAATCCACAGATACAGAACTTAGGGAATCTGCTGTGGCTTCAAATGTGATGCTACGCAAAACAGGATTTTGTGAGGAGAAATGATCACTTATCTCCACTGCTGTTGTGGTAGAAATGGAAGGCAATAAGGAGGAGGAGCCATCAGTATGCAATGAAATTTCAGTGGTCACTGTTTCTGTCTCAGTACTGACAAGCATCAGAGGTGTTTCTGTAGGATGCTGAGTGAATGAAGTGGCATGTGGATTTTTTGATACAGTGGTTGACTCAAATGACAAAGAAGCTGCACGAGGGCGGCTGACACTGGTAGGAAAAGAAGTGTTACTGATGGTGTGGTCAGAGACAGTGCCATCTCCTTGTGAAACTGTCAAAAAACCTAGAGACTCTGTCGGTTCAACTGTGGTTATGGAAGATGAATCTACTGATGCTGGTGAAGACAGTGTAGGGAAAGTTTGCAAAGAAGTCACCCTCTGAATCTCAGTTTCTAGTGATGGAATCTGTTGTGAGGATGGAGTCAATGATGGATGCTCTTGTGTGCTCAGTGTTCCAAGGCCATTGGTCTCAGTTGTTCTGAAGGCACTAGAAGCTATGATTGGCACACCAGAAGATGAATCAGTTTCTGCCATTTTGTTTGTGTTGATGGAAGAGATAGTACTACCTTGGGGTGATATCAAACTGCTTGAACGTGAAGACCCTGATAAATGTGTCAGCAGGGATGATAACAGTGAAGGAAATTCTGTCCTGGCTGTAGACAGCTCACCTCTTGTGCTCTCAGAATGATCAACATCTGCAGTTGATGTAATAATGTCATTGATGGACTTTGTTGGGGTTGCTGGATATAAGAATGAATTAATTGCTGTTTCTGCTGAAAGAGGTGTAGCTGAAACAGTACTTCTAGTCATTAAAACAATAGACGAACTAGCAGATTCTGTTGAAGTTACTGCTTGTGCTCCACTGGAACCATTTTCAGTTGAATTCATAGTGTAAATATAATTTTCTAACAGTGATTCCGTTTTGATTTCTGGTTTTGTGAAAGCAAGCAAGGCGGGTAAATTGCTTTTTAATGTCATAGCAGAATTGTCTGTCATAATATCAGAAGCAGTATATGTATGGTATACAGAAACTGGGAATGTGGTACTATCATCTATTGATTGCATAACTATATTTGTTCTGCTTCCAACACTAGAGCCCAAAGATCTTAAAAAGATCTTAAAATTTGCCATAATTGGAGAAGAAAGTCTAGATAAACTATTTGTTTGTGAAAGATCTTGATTTTCAGTAGTTAGAGGTACCAGAGCTGCAAATGAAACAGAATTAGAGGATAAAGCGTTGGTCTCTTTGGTATTAGTTGAAACAGTTTGTGCTCTGGACCTGCTCTTGTTTGCAGCAACATAGGAAAGATGAGAAGTGGGTTGTGTTGCTGAAGCAGATGCTTTTGACGAAGGCACACTAATGGCAGCTAAAGGTATCGAGAATTGAGAAGTAGTTAAAGTATTTGATGATGGCATTGTAGGTGTTTGTGAAGTCAGTTCACTTGCAGCATTTGGAGGGTATTCTGTCACAGTCCCAGATGAGATTTGTGTAGCATCAATCCTTGCTTCATGGACTGCCACATTATCAACAGTTGATCCAACAGCTCTTGATGTGCCAATTTTAGTGTCATAGCCCTGAGTAGTTTTCTTTGGCACTTTAATTCCATTTTCTGTGTTTCCAGTGCTTGGTTCAAAGGGAGTCACAAACAATTTTAACAGTGTGCTTCTTGGAAAAGGCACTTTAGACATTGTTAAGCTTGTCTGGGTTAAGGCAATGGAATTAGATGAGGCTTGGTTATGATGAGATGATGTAGCTGCTAATGAAGAAAATGATGATAATGAAGCTGTTTCTTCTGAAATGGAGGATGTGTCTGTAGACACTGACAGGGATGACACTGTACATTTGGTGCATGGCTTTGACTGAGACTGAAGTAATGCTGGATAAGTGGTACTATGTGTCAAACCTGGCTCAGGAGAGAAGCTGGTAACCGCAGGTCCTGAAGATGAAGGTTCTGTTTCTCTTGCTGATATCTCTGAAGGCCACCTAATCGTTCGGTTTCTGCGGTTTGAGATTATAGGGGAAGCTTTAGATTGCAACAGTGTCCTCTGTTTTTTTAAAGTTTTTGAGCTAGTTAACAGAGTCAGTATTGACTGGAATGTAGGACTGTCACTTGATATGGCGTCTATTGTGCTTCCTGCTGATCCAGGTGGATCTGTGTTAATGATCGAAATAGACTCCTCTTCTGCCAGTAGAATTTTCGCTAACAAATGTGAAGACCCTACTGTAGCCACTGCATCCTGTGGAAGTTCTGAATAAGCTGAGGCTTCATAATTCCCTTGATCTGTAAAGAGTAGAAAATTAATAGGATTAAAGCTGGCACCTGTTAATAACTTTTTCAGTTGGAAAAGAAACATGGATAATTCTACATATTTTTCACAAGACATTTTAGAATCTCATCCAATTCATAGCTAAGCAAATCCAAAATAAAGTCGAATATGTGTGTATTGTATAAGCAAACCAGATACAGTATATTACATATAAAACAATTATGGATGTGGCTGACAGCTGATCAAACAAGAGTTTAAACTCTTCAATTATCCTCTTTTTGTGGTTTAAATTAGTGGATGCCATGTCAATTATATCCACTTAATATTTTTCACTTGCTGAAAGCCATTAATTACATATGATGTGCAGTAGGTGTCATTAACAAAATATTTAATTCTATTAAAAATAGTGCATTAATTTTCTTTCACTCTTTAATTCTTAATAACCAACATTATCATCATCATAAAATATGGAAGACTAAGCCAGAAACAACAGTACCAATTAACTTTTCACATCATCCATGCTGCAGCCCACTGTCAAATCGGAAAGGGCAAATTGTGAAGATAAAGAATTCGCTAGATAAAGACTTTTTATTTAAAAAAGGGCTAAGTTTAATGAAGAGGTGGATATTAAATAAAGTAAAAAACAGAACACAAAAATGCTAACATGAACAGAAAGATGTACTGTAAAAAGGGTGCATTCTAAGTAGGTCATTTCATGAGCAAAATACTTAAATATCATTAATCTACATTTTATGAAAGGCTGAAGAAAATCCTTTTAAAAACAACGTAGTTAGGTAAATAACCATTTACATTTATAACTATAGAAATTCATGTTCTACCTTACTGATACAATATCCTGGATACTGTTTGAAAGCCAAAAATAATCTGGCATACATCCATAATGCCTTTGTTATTTCATTTGTGGCATTCATTTAAAAAATATATATATGACATATCCATCTGGGGATGTTTTTTTTTTATTATGATTTGTAAGCAACTGTGATATGACATACAGTTTTTATTACGCATCACAAAATCTTTTTCACTTATTGCAAGGCTATAAAAGCTCATTGTCTTTTCATAAGCATTGCCCAAGGCAACTATTTACAAAATGTTTCTAATCCGTATTTCTTTAACAGTTTAGTAAAATATAATATGCCATGTCATTTACTAAACCGCTTTATACCATATGGTAAAATGTTTAAATAATATGTTTAATAATATCTTTAAATATTATACAAATATAATGTTTTATTTTCTTCCAATTCCACTTCCAAACGCAAACACATTTCCCATGTATGATAAAATCTTAAGATGTACAGTAGGTATCATCAGCTCAGATATATTTCCTTTAAACCATAGAAAAACAAGATGAGTAATGAAATTATAGGTCACTTATATCAAAAACTGACAACACATTTTAGTTTTCATTAATTTCTTGCCCAATTAGATTCTATATATACAGTACGTGTAGTAACTGTTTCATAGATACTGTAAAATTCATTTTAAGCCAACATGAGTCTACCTCAGCCAATGGACTTCCAGTGTCATGCTGCTGTAGCTTAGAGTGACTGCTCCACAGCACAAGAAAATACCAAATGTTGAGCCGCACTGAAGACGCTTGAATCCCTGTAGATAGCCACCTGCTCCGACTGGAGGGCCATATGGAATGCTCCTTCAAAAAGTGCCAACAACTTGGGAATGATAAGCTCTTGGGAAAGGGGTGCAACAGAGGAGAAGATGCGCTACAAGCTGGTAAATTTGAAATGATAAAAAAATTAAACCCCTCTGGTCTGGGGTCCAGGTGGCTAACCCTGAGACAGGCACCACCAACTAGTGTTAAGCCTATCAAAGGTTGAGGAAAGCCTCCCATGATCTCACACAATTCCCACTTTTCATGGGGACAAAAAATGCATTTCTTTGCTAAGTCTCTGCAGATTCCATCTGTGTTTTTGGGCTTAAAGTTCACAAAAGGCCTTCTTGTAATTTTGTATACGTTTATACGGAATGGTTTTCAAAATGTTTTGAGCCTTTCTGGCAACATACTGTAAGGAGAAAGATGTACATATTGACCTAATGCATCAAAAAGATGTGCCAAACCTGACCCATCTTAATGTAACATTTCTATATGAAGTACCTAATTTCATATGTACAGAGTGTCAACCAAGTGCCTTAAGCCAAATACAGCTAGACTCATGTTTAGTAAAAGCCAATTAGAAGAGTTTAGGTGTTCAAGATTATGAATGATCTGAAGAAAGAAAGCATGTTGGACAAAATACATTAATTTTCAATGGATGACATCCCTGATTAAGACTGCCTGTCAATATGACAATATGATTTATCTAACCATTTTACTAGACTTGTACAATGCGTTCTTTGACAATGAGCTGCTCTAAAGTTACTCTAAACATAAGGAGGTAAACAGATCAAGATCTTAAATGAGCCGCAGACATAGATTATACAGTAGGTATACAGGACAAGATTTAGGTGTCATTCTGTGTTTACCAATCTAGCAATTTAGCAAACTATGTTGAATTAAATACATAGGATTCATAAAAGCACAAGGTGCAAAAACGCCTGAGCTAAATGTTCAAAGTTCAGGTTAAGGATAGAATGTTTACTTTTGTTCATTTGTAAGAGGTAAAATCATGATAATTACATTGTTTCTATTAATTAAAACAAAAGCAATGAATAAAGCCATGGAACATAAAACATGTACTGGATTATAGCAAAGACAGTGCTGAAAGAATAGCTCAGACTCAAGCCAGTACCTCTGGGCTGTTGTGCCCCATGCAGCTTGCACTGTCCTCAGATCAAAGCCCCAGTGTTTTTGGAATCTATTTTTCACAGCACACAGCTCTGGCAAACGTCTTCACTGAACACCTCAGACGGACCACAGCTGCCGTGATGTTCTCCAAATAGTTTTTTTTTTTAATTTCGTTTTCCCAGCAGAAACACAATACTAAAGGGAGTGGAATAAAAAAATTGAAGTATGACTGGCTATTTCTACATTCCAAGCCATAGACTGGAATATCAGGCAGGTTTAGATTTCATGCTCACTTTTGAATAGAATGGCATGGTCTTTCGAGGCTTTGTCTTGAATGTTTATTTTTTAAAAAAAGACGAATGCCCGAGCTCACAAATCTCGGCTTCACCACACATTTATAACCATGAAGAGAAACAAATACCAATGCAGAGACGAGAAGATGCAAGTCAGGCAGAAATAACAGCGTAGCAGGCAGTACGGTCTCAAGTTTGTCTTTCATGTGGTACTACATACATCCAAAAAGATAACAATCAAACAATTATCAAGGTTATGTCATGATGCATGTATCATTTGCTTTTAATGTAGAAACCTGTCTTATAACAGTTGAAAGATCTTTAACAAATTAGGTATCATCCCATAGACATACTCCCTGTACTGTATATATTTTAACACAAGCCATAATATACCTTTAGCATATAATATTACTTACTTTCTTTAGAAGTGTACTAAGGCTACCAGTGATTCACAAGTTTATTATTAGTTTTCTGTAAGGTACAGTAGTGTACAGTAACATTACAAAGAAGGGTACTGTTCTTTTGACTGCTTATTCTCTATTATTTGGAAATCAATATATTTTTTTGATGAAGTTGATTTTCAATGATTTTAAACTTACAGTAGAATGTTTGAAAGCACTCTTCAAAATGGCAATGGTGTTCCATCAAATAAAAAAAAAGAAGCCCAGAAAAATAGGCCATTAACTGATTTCAGATAAACTTAATTTTAACTGATCTGTCAGTCTTTCAAAAATGTCATGTGTTATTTTTAAATTATGTAAATTTTGAAAGACTTTTTTTTTCTCTATACATATTCATTACCAGCTCTTATTCCTTGATTAAATATTATATTAATAATGAACTCATTCTCAGTCACTAATTAATCTCTAAGAATTCATATGCAATGCACATTCTTAGAAAACACTCTCGACCAGATTCAAACCATATTATTTCATGTAAAAAAGCTCCAGAATTTCAGATAAAAACTCAGCCAATGGGGGTGAGAATGGCACTACACAACTACAGCTTAATATAATTATATAATAGAACTGATCATGGCTAATGACAAATGATTCATTAACACAACTTCAAGGTTTTTAATAACCCACAATTGACTTGAATTGTCAGCTCTACTTCAAGACTTGGTTCAGATAATTATTGTTGGTTTAGAATATCTATTTCAACATGCAGTACTCCCTGCAGCTTTATTAATCTTGATATATTAATAAAGATCCTCCATAGGAATAATAACATATACAGTAACATCAAAATACATTATAACCCATTTTTGGAGTAGTGGTTAGAGCTATAGACTCCAGACCAGAGGGATCAAATCCTAGGAGCTGTGCTGTTGGAGTAACCTTGAGCAGTGTACTTGACGCAGATTTTCCAGTACAAAGTCTGCGGCACAAATGTGCCTTTAGGTCATCACTGTAAATGAGAACCTGTGTTTAGTTCTCGGATGTAAAAGATAATATAAAAAATAACCACTGTGAAAACTAACCCTGTAACACCATGAAGTGGGGTGGCACGGTGGCACAGTGCTTGCTGCCTTGCAGTGCTCGGGCCCTGGGTTCAATTCCAGGCATGGGGTGCTGTCTGTGTGGAGTTTGCATGTTCTCCCCATCCTCGTGTGGGTTTTGTGTGGGCTTCTGGGATATTTGTGCATGTGTGCCCTGTGAAGAACAGGCATCCCATCCAGGGTGTATTTCCTTTGCTTGCTAGGAGCAGTTCTGGCTCCTCTGCTACCCTGTACTGGATAAAGCTGTTTGAAAATTGATGAATGTAACTCACACTATGTACATTACAGTACATGTTACTCTTAACTATAACCTTATGTCATTATGCAATAAAGTAATAAATAACAGACACATTAACAATAAAATAAAGAATGAATGTAATGTAGTTAATATCCACAGCCATTTGATCTGCAAACCTGCATAACAGAATTATCATCAATCATTCTTCCTGAGAC